GGTTTGTTCTGTGAGTATAAGGTTTCTCCACCTCACTTATTTCCCAAGCTCTAAAACCCTATCGACTCTTCAGAATTCATCGTGGCTTTACATATATTACTTTTTCTTTGGCCAGCATGCAGTTGGGGGCAGCATGCTTCGAAGTCCTCACTGTCATCTGAGCAAACTAACTTAATCAGACTTGCTCAAACATGGTCCATGATCTTTTCATTTGTGACACTAGTACATGTGGGAGCATTTGCTTTCTAGTGGCCAAAGGTGGAAAAAGAGACTAAGAGAATTTTCCCCATACAATTTTGAGGCTTTTGTTGGGGGTGCGCATCTGCAGGTGTAAAGCACCAGAAAACAGGAAAAACAAGTTGGATGACTTGCATTGAGCCCTTGTAGTACAAGGGCCTGTGGCTGATGGAAGTGGGATGGGCTGGTTGTAAAACTGGAGATGATACTTTGAGATTAACCTTTTCTTCCATCTGCCCAAGGTATTTCTCCACTTAGCAGGCAGGAAAGCCTTTCTGTTAACCTCCTGAGGGTAGTCTTCCTGTACCCTGAACCCAACAAAGGCACCTGATGACAAAGCATCTACCCTATTCATAGCAACTGTGTGTGGACAGCTGCTTTCACATAATTAGATAAATAGGGGTTTCTCAGGGTACAGCAAGGAATTTAAGGCAAATAATAATAATAATACTCTTTGTTACAGAAAGTAAAAAACCTAGCTACAGGGGCTTCCTTGTGCCATGAGTTAATTCTGAAGTGGAAGTTCATTTTGCCAGAAAGAGCTGGGCTTTGGAGTTGGAGAGACCAGGGTTAAAATTCCTCTCTACCATATCACCTTCTCTGTGACCTTCAAGTTAATTTAACCTTAGTGGCTCTATTTCCCATCAGAAAATACTGATAATCCTATCTCACTGGGCAATTGTGATGAATAAACAAATTAGCCTTTGCCTGGCACATGGTAGCTACTCAACAGAGAAACTTTCCTTTACTTCTTAGAAGTGGATGGTTCGTCACATTACCAGACCAGCTGAGTGTACCTCTAGCCAGACTCTTTATTTATTTTGCTACTAGTGATTGAACCTAGGGGTGCTTAACCATTGAGCTAATCCCCAGCTCTTTTTATTTTTTATTTTGAGACAAAGTCTGGCTAAGTTGCTTAGGGCCTCACTTAATTGCTGAGGCTGGCTTTGAACTTGAGATCCTCCTGTCTCAGCCTCCCAAATTACCAGGATCACAGGCATGCACCACCAGCCTGGGCTAATGGCAGCTTTTTGCTTTTACTAATTCCAAGTGACAGGAAGTTAATTTCAATAGGGGTGAGTGTTTCTTCCAAACTTTGTTTTGCTAGAGAAAGTCTTTTTTTCAAAGTGACCTAAAACTTTCTTGACCTTTTTACATCCTCTTCTGAATTCAAAGAGTCAGGTGGGGGAAGGGGGTCACCTGTGATTCTATAGCTTCCTCTTGGGTCCTGTGAGGAAGGCAGAAGACTGGTAGGTGTCTGGAGAGCATCGAGCTCTCTAAAGCAGAGCTGTCCTCTTTGTTTTCCTTTGGCAGCCTACTGGGATTTACATGTTTTCAGTAACTCTCCAAGGAGGTTAGAGTAGTATTAGATGTTGTTACAAAGACTTTTTTCCCCACACATGACAAAATCAGAACCCTCTTAATAAGTGTAATTAAATTTTGAGTGACAATTGCCCTTATTATAATTACCTCATATGTAGATATTCTGAAAACATATTCTTCTAATTTTGACATTTCAGAGGTGCTTAGTTCTTTTTTGGTTGGAATATGAGTCTTAGTAAATCTTCCCCTTAAATTAGTGGTTAATACTCCTCAAACATGGCCAGCTTGAGTGCTTGTCCTTTTTTGAATTTACTCTCGAGTGAGTCTGAGGCATTCTTTGGTTGGCTTGATGTATTCTCCCCCACTCTTCCACTCCCACAGTCCCAGCATATCTGTCTTTCTGCTGCCTTTGTAAAGTTTAAATGTGGAGTGGGGAGAGTGGTGCCAGGAACTCCTGAAGCAGATCCCAGCAGAGGGGCTAGCTGGGTTCTGCCGAGTGGATTTCCACACGCCTGTGGAAGCCTTCAGCACTGGAGTCTCTTCCAGGCTTGAAGGCTCTTCTATAGGAGGCTGAGGTCAGCCTGTGGCTCCCCCTGCTTCAGAGCAGAAAGTTCATCATTTGGCTTTGGGGAGAACTGACTCAAACTTTAATTCACCCTTCATGCTCAGTTTAAGACAACCTTTTCAAATTTAATTTTCATCCTTCTGCCTTAATTTCTTAAGGCTATATAAGTTACTTAATGGAAAATGTTCATCATTTACTGTGCAGAATGAAGCCTAGTTATTTTTCTCAGGTTCTAAATCTTTAAGGATTTACTGCAAGGACTGGAGATGTGACTCAGTTGTAATGTTTGCCTAGAATGTTCGAAATCCTGTGTTCTATCCTAGATGGGGAATGGGAGTGTTACTGGGACAATTAAAATGGTAATTCTTTTTTCTTCTTCTTCTTTTTTTTTTTTTCCTTTAAAGAACCACCATTTTGTCAGCTGGGGATCCTGTCAATAATAACAATGAAACTCAGGAATGCCTTATCTCTTATAGGAAATACAGGCTGGGACTCCTTCCATAAATTACTAATACCTAATCACTCTGCATTGGCCTCCCCATTTGCTTCTACTGTCCTCCAAAAGCAATAGTATTAGGTTTATATTCACTTTGCATTCAGACCATGAAGTGGGAGAGAGGAAAAGTAATATTTTAGTTTGGGGAGTAAAGCATTAAAAAGGAAAAACATTTATCTTCCTCCTGTTCTTATAAATACATTTTGCCTCTGTATCATTCTTAAGCTCCTTTTGAGAAGAAAGGCTGCTGATTATTTCTTTGAATCTAGGATCATAGCTGGGTGAGGATTTTTTAAAGTTTGGAATTTCATGAGTTTGGGAGTCATCCTTGTACAGGAGCCATGCTAATAACCTTCTCTGTATTTTTCCAATTTTAGTATATGTGCTACTGAAGCAAGCACTGCCTTTAAACTTTATGCACATGTATTAAAAAGGTGTGACTAAGAGATCTATGTTGGAGGGTGGAGCTGGTGGTCACATTAGTCTAGTTCTGCTGACAGTGGCATAAATAAAGGTCAGTTCAGAGTGGCTGTAGATAAGATGCTTAGGTATACACAAGGTAGACACAGATCTCTGCACAGCCCAGGCATTGTGCAGAGCTTTGGAGACTCGAAGAGGGAAGTAGGAGACTGGCCATATGACCAATTTTACTAGGTCTAGGTTCTTGGGAAAGTTGTCCATCTCCCTGAGCCAGAACTTCCTCATTTCTGAAAAAGGAGTAATACCTGTAAAGTTGTGCCTAGTAAATGACCTGTCAGTTTAGTATTGTAAGCAGTCACAGTGGTGGCTAAGAACACTCCATTGTTTACTAAAGTTACAGATAAGTGAACAAGCTATTGCTATGAGCAAGCGATTGTTTGGCACTTGCTCTGGTGGGAGGTTTGTAGGCACAGGTGTGGGGAGATTGGACAGGTTAGTGCCTCACCCAGCAGGAACTTGATTTGAAGGCTTATAGGAGGTGTTGGCACTTGAGCCAAGTCTTAAAGCCCAGTGAATGCAGAGCTGGCAAAGAAAGGGGGAAGGGCAGCCCTGATGCTAAGAAGTCTCTAAAAGGACCCCTGCCTGCCCATTCTCTTAAAAGTTGCCGCTAGAGGGGAAGCCAGGACCTGAAGTGGAAAATGGATTTTTAAGAAAAGGAAGTCTCTTTAAGTTGTGAAGACTTGAATTAAGAATGGGCCTTTGGCTTGGAACATTTGCCTGTGGAGCTTGGTGTTGTGTTCTGTTAAAAGGAATTCAGTGGGAGCCAGGAATGGTTCCCATCTGGTCCCCCCTGTGGTGGGATCTGAGTACACTCCTTGGAAACCCACCCACTGGTTTGGCATTTACTGCCAAATTCCACTTTCAGAGGGAAATGATCCCATTCCTTTCTGACTCTGAGTATTAAATAGTCTAGAAAACCTCTGTGTACTTTGAGGAGTGGATAACATCTTTGGGTGTGTGATGTTGCAATGATATGAGAGGTACTTACCCTTGTTTTAATGCTTTGAAGAGTGGAAAGCCCAAGAAGTGTGTGAGTGTGTGTGTGTGTGTGTGTGCGTGTGTGTGTGTGTTTTGCAGAGAAATACACTGCATTGAAGCTGAACCTAATTGCAAAGGTTTATAATAGCAAAATAATTAAATTATACACCTGCTGTTTCCTGAAAGTTGTTAAGCAAATTCTTTGATTGGGCTCAATGGCCTTAATTCTAGAATCTAGCATTAGGAGTCTGCGCTGTGTTCAGAAGGCATTGTGGTAAATGAGATACCCCTGAGGCACCCTGTCATGTCATTTAATCATCAACTTCCTCCAGAATCACTGGCATCACAGGTGTGTGCCACCATGCCCACACAAATCTCTTCTTCAAAGAACTGTCTCGGAAATAATTTTGAGTTGCTTAATTTCTTCTGTGTTTTAACATTCCATGTTTAGGGATGAATGGATTAAGAGCTGGTGTCCTTTGTCCTAGATCAGTGATTTTCCAAGTGCAGTGTTCAGACTGCAGCAACAGGATTACCCAGAGAACTTGTCAGAAATGCAGATTTTCCTTGCCCTGACTCAGAACTAGCCTTGATAGACAAGCTTGGTTTTCCTAATGTGGAGGTGGGGTGAGGTGGAACAATGACCATGGATAATTATTCTACCTAATTATATCCAGATAAAAATCAGGCAGGATTTTTCTTACTTCATAATGCATTCAGGTCTTATTTAAACTAACAATTGCACTTTATGTGTTTATGAAAAATACTGAATTGATTGTTAATGCTGATAACAAAACAGCAATCCTTACAAGTTTTTAATGACCCAAATAAATATTAGAAATTTTACGTATATGATAATTTTGTTTCCCCTTTAAATTACAGGGTATAGTAATAACTATATTTCTTGTGGCTGTTTTTTAGGTTAAAAACGTGTCTGCAGGCACACAAGACATACCTCCACCCCCATCTGACTATGTGGAGAGAGTCGATAGTTCCATGGTGTACTCTTCCAATGACAAAGTGAATGGCAAGCGGTCATATCCAGAGTCTTCCTATAAGTCAACACCACCGTAAGTTGAATCTCCCTTACTTTGATAGAATGGGTCTACAAATGAGTATTAGCATATATTGAAAATTAATTTTTTTGTGCCACCTTCCTTCAAAAATATCCAACAGTACACATAAAAACCAGACACTGATCTTTCTTTTGTATTACAATGATCTTTGCTTTATTGGTAGAGACCTAAATATGACTTGGAAGATTTGGATGGGGAGGATGAGATCCTTTTCCTCTTCTAAGTTGAAAATGTGTTTTTTTATTTGCTGATTTAATTCAGCACCTACATTGTGGTCTTCACTCTAGAAATGTGGTTCTGTATGCTCTTGCTACTATTTCTAATTGTGAAGTTTAGGGGAGGGTGGAAAGAAGTTACTAAGTATAATGCTAAATATAATTCTCAGTTTCTCTTTTTGACAATAATTATTAAATCTCTTGAATAGAAGGGAAAAATTGAATGTCGATTAACCCTACCCACATACATGTTTATTAAACTAGAAAGTTTCATTTGAATTCAGATTTCTGGTGTATTAATCATTTTTCATTGTTGTAACAAAATACCTCAAGCACGCTACCTTTATAAAGAAAAGAGGTTTATTTAGCCCACAGTTTTGAAAGGTCAAGGGGATGACACTGGCATCAGCTTAGCTCTAGTGAGATCACTCTTGGTGTTCTAAAGACTTTCCAGTAGGCTTAACCCCTCATAAAGTTTCCACATTACATAGCATTGCCACAATAAGGACCAAGCCTCCAATACATGGGTCTTTGGAAGACACACTCAAACCATATATCCAAACCACAGCATCTGATTTCTCATTTACCATGCTGAGTCCTTCATGTTGCTGGGGCAAGGTTTAGATATGCTTCATAATTATGGTGGCAACTCTGAAATATCACATATATCATGAACATCATTCTAAGAGTTGTAGTATTGATGTTGATCATGTATTGTTTGTTTCTTTTCCTTCACTGATACTGTGTGTCTTCTGAAAAGGAGGATTCTTGTGCATCTGTTTTCAGTAATCATCTTGAATAGCTGTACAATACTGAGCCAAGTGCTCCTGGGTATATGAAGTCCGTGTTCTCACAGACATTGCAAAACAAAGGTGGAAGAAAGTGCCTAACTACACTGAGAGGCCAAAATAAGAACAGCAAAGGCATGTGAAGGAGTATGTATGGGAATAAGGATTAATTCAAATCTACAAAAGGGTCAACCAACCTCCAGACCTGGTGATCCAGTAAGGTTGAGAATATCTGAGTGAAGAAGGTAGCTGGGAAGTACAGGGCTGGTTATCTCATCTGCATTGTATGTATTTTGACTTAATATGACTTGTATCTAAAAGTAGGTTTAAAGGTTATTTAGTCTATACTTATTCTATGATTCTTTTTTTTTTTTTTTTGTGGTGGTGGTGCTAGGGATTGAACCCAGGGCCTTGTGCATGCTAGACAAGCACTCTACCAACTGAGCTATACCCCCAACCCCATCCATAATTCTGAATTTATATATACTTCTCTTGCTAAGTATTTTGTTTTTAGCCTTCATGCTAAAAACAGGTATGTTACTGCATAGTGTTTTAAAGGGTATAAGAAAAGGAGAGGTGGAAAACTTTCAAGGTCAAAGATTTATAATATTAGTAACTAATATCATAAAATTATGGCCAAGACACTTGCTTTATATGTTTTTTCCCTTTTTTCATTTCATTTGCCCTTTATCTTCTTCCCTCTCTGTTCCCTACCCCTCAAGTAGACCCACTGCATTCAAAAAGTTTTATCTTCTACCCCAAAGCAAGAAGCACAGAAGCTAACTCTTGGCAGAGTATCTGGGAACTTGTTAATCATTAACTCAGGGAGAAAGTCACATTTTCTCTCTCCTAGGACTAGCATTAACATAGCATACAAAACCTTGATACCTGAATACATTTACAAAGAAAAAATAAATACCACCTCCACCCCCAACTACACACACATTCTCCAAAGCTTTAGGGTTCTGCAAGAAATTAAGTGAGATTAGAAATCTCAGACTCTGCTAACAATGAGAAATCACCTGGAAAATGGTAAGCCTGGAAGATAAAGCTCAAAATTATGACTTCTGTAAGTTGGAAGCAGTAGGAAGGAAGAAAAACAATTTTCTTTTGACATTTTTAATAGTTGGTTTGGATAGCCAGACTTATACTGAGAAAGTCTCTGCCCCTTTCTTTGATCTTTTCATTTTTTTTTTCTTGCCCTTCTACCAAAGAGGAAGATGACTTTATACTTCTGTTGCTTAGAAGTAGTTTATGTTTGCCTCAGCTTTTGGTATTTTATTCTTGTGTTAGGCTTGTTTTCATGCTGGTGGCAGGAACAGTATATGCAATTCGATTTCTCATGCAAGAAGAAATAATTGCATTAGAAAAATAATAAGTATAATGGTAATCCTTCCATTCATTCTACCTGGCTTCAAGATTAACATAGCAATTTTTAAAAGAATATTTAATGAACTCTTTCATTCATTTCAATATAAAGCTTTGTGGTTTTAAATCATTTTAAATCATTTCTAGTTTTTCAAAATTTTATCTTAAAAAAGAGAATTATTATATGGTAGTATAAAATTAATATTACAAAGAGCTTATCTCAGAGTCAGATAAGCTACATCCTCTTCCCCACGTAACATTTCATGGAACTGGAAGAACCTGTACAAAATCACCATCATCATCATTTTCCTGACAGCTTTTTATAGAGCAAGTCCCTGGCACGGGACAGATAAACACCTCTTAAGATCAGCTTGAAATGAAATCTGAGATCCATTTTACTTAGAAGTTTAAAATCCCCCCCTCCAAATGGATGGCATTAGAGCAGATTATGCTAAGTGAAGCTAGCCAATCCCTAAAAAACAAATGCCAAATGTCTTCTTTGATATAAGGAGAGTAACTAAGAACAGAGTAGGGATGAAGAGCAGGAGAAGAAGATTAACATTAAATAGGGATGAGAGGTGGGAGGGAAAGGGAGAGAGAAGGGAAATTGCATGGAAATGGAAGGAGACCCTCAGGGTTATACAAAAGTACATACAAGAGGAAGTGAGGGGAAAGGGAAAAATAATACAAGGGGGAGAAATGAATGACAGTAGAGGGGGTAGAGAGAGAAGAGGGGAGGGGAGGGGAGGGGAGGGGGGATAGTAGAGGATAGGAAAGGCAGCAGAACACAACAGACACTAGTATGGCAATATGTAAATCAATGGATGTGTAACTGATGTGATTCTGCAATCTGTATATGGGGTAAAAATGGGAGTTCATAACCCACTTGAATCAAAGTGTGAAATATGATATATCAAGAAATTTGTAATGTTTTGAACAACCAACAATAAAAAAATTAAAAAAATAAATAAATAAAATCTCCCCCCTCCGACCCATGTCAGACCTTTAGAACTGCTGTTGTGTATCAGAGGATCCTGAGAGAGTGCCATAACGAATGCGGCAAGCTAGGCATCTGCTCAGTGCTGAGCATGTAAACCCTTGAATGCCTGTGTCTGCATGCAAGTATTGCTGAGTGCTTGTTATTGCTGCCCTTTGTGGTTATGATATTACTGGCCGAGCTGTAGTGTACTCAGTGGCCACTGAACACTGACCTCTGTTTTAGGGTGCCTGAAGTGGCTCAGGAGCTTCCCCTCACTTCACCCATGGATGACTTCAGACAGCCTCGCTACAGCAGCAGTGGTAACTTAGAGACACCTTCAAAAAGGGCTCCCACTAAGGGAAGAGCAGGAAAGCCCAAGAGAACAGAGCAAGATCACTATGAGACAGACTACACAACGGGTGGAGAATCCTGTGATGAGCTGGAGGAGGACTGGATCAGGTAGAGTCCCTCTCCTCTTCCTACAGCCACTTGCATGTCCTGAATATCAACGTGGCCAGCCGGGTTTGGAGTTGTTGCTTCTGGTACTGGGTTCCGTGGTATGATTTTATTCTTTGCCAATGAGGACTGGAGACAGTTTTTTGTGTTGTGTTATGTTGTGTTTTTCCTTAGTGTCTTTTTGTGATCAAGATGGAAATGGAGGCAATTGCTTGACTGTAACCATGTCTTAAACACACTTTCAACTTCCCCACAAAATGGCTGGTGAATTCCTCCAGTGTCCTCTAACAATAATTACCCAAGAGAGGTTTTTTCAAGTTAAAAAAAAAAAAAGTATAAAGGAATTCTGTTTTACTGATTATAAAATTCCCGCCCAGATCAGTGAGTGTGTTGTGGCTTTCCTTTAGCAATTCCCCTTAAATTAAGCTTTCATGATAAAAACCAGAGTTTCTTTTAAAGGTTAATCCAAAGAACTCAGGGCAAACAGTTTTGTAAACAATTGCAGTAACAGTTTAGAGTTCTGGCCAATGTTGTGGTTAACTTGTGTCATTGTTGGTTTTAGTCTGTCACTAGGTACACATGGACAGAGTGCAAAACCTTTTCTTGCCCCAGTGTTCTGAGGATTGGGACACCAGGCCGAAACAGTTGTGGTGTGCTTGGTGGTTAATGAAAACACTGCTTCTCCAGGTTTTAGTAGGAGCAGGTGGGACAGGGATAGCTCGAAATCCCTTGCTCACCGGTGATTCTGGCACCTCATCTTCTCCTTCCCCCAAGAGTTTTTTGACATGCTTCAGCCATCTAGCTGTAAAATATTTGCCTAACTTGTATTATAGACGATTTAACTAAAAACTCAGAAATCCTAAATTTTTGTTTCCCTTTTGATCAAATCATTAATTTCCCCCCATGAAAAATGAAAATATTAAACTATTAGATTTAGAACTTGAAATTTCATATTAGGATAAACAATTCAGAGTATTTTCCTCAATGTGTCATGAGTTGATAGCATCATCTTCATTTGCAAGGGGTTGTGGTATATTCAGAGAGATAAGTGATGACAGAATTTGTTTTCCTGATACAGTAATGAATTGCCAGATTATTTGTCCAATGAGCATTTTTTTTACTTTTTATTCATTTTTTTAAAAATTGTAGTTATAGATGGACAGAATGACTTCATTTTATTTGTTCATTTTTATGTGGTGCTAAGGATCAAATTCAGTGCCTCACATGTGCTAGGCAAGCACTCTGCCACTGAGCTACAGCCCCAGACCCTATTCACTTATTTTTTGAGAAAAAGTAGAAAGAAGTTTTATTGCTTTGCTAGCGAAGGAGAAACACAGGGACTCCAGTCCCAGATACTGTGATTCTGCTTATCAGAGGGAACAGGGAATTTTTAAAGCAGTGATTCACAGGCTACATTCCAAATGTTCTCTGCCCAGAGTTATAATTCATTATTATTTGGGAGATAGTAATTTTTTAGATCTTCTGGTGCCACCCCCACGTCTGAATTACTTCATTCTTGTGGTGGGGGTGTGCTCAAGGACAAATACCTCTGCCTAGGATGGGGAAGAAAGGTAATCCTTTTTTCCCTGAGATTAAGGAGCAAAAGACTAGGGAGAGGGAGGAAGAGAGGCAGAGAAAGAAACATGTCCATTTAAAAAATAAGTTGCAGTAGCAGAATAGCAATGCTATATTCAAACCATAAAGTGAACCACTATTACATTTCCCCACTGTCAATTTCTAAGGAAAAATGTGCGTCAACATCTCCAAGCTTCTTTCTGCTGAGAGGGCAAAGTTAGGGGAAGTGACCTGAAGGCCTTGTTCTCTGTCAGATAGGACATGGACAGTTAAGGGTATTTGGCATCAGGGTAGTCTAGAGGTCCATGGTGGCAGTTGGCAGGTGACTAGACAAGGCATACATAGGGCAGGGATCATGCAGATGGCCAAGGGTGTTACAACTTCACTGGGTTCAGATTCCTTTTTCTCAAAGTGGACCAAGATGGAGCAAACCATCTTCTAACTCTCCAGAAGTTTGCTCTCAAGAAATTCACCAGCCCCCTTGCTTCCTCCTCATGGAAGTGGGGTTGCTTGGAGTGCCAGATCTAGAAAGAAAACTGGAGTAGGAGCTGCTCTCAAGTCCCATCTGTGTCCTCAATTTGTTACTGAAAACTTACCCCTTGTCCCCCATGCCAATCCAATAATGAGTACAGGATTTTGACAAAAAGAAATAAGTTTTATTGCTTTGCTAGCAAAGGAGAAACAAGGGATTCCTGTCCCAGGGGCTATGATTTTTTTTTTTAATATTTATTTTTTAGTTGTAGTTGGACACAACACCTTTATTTCACTTGTTTTTTATTTTTTATTTTATGTGGTGCTGAGGATTGAACCCAGGGTCTTGCACGTGCCAGGCGAGTGCTCTACTGCTGAGCCACAACCCCAGCCCCAAGGGCTGTGTTCTTGAGCATATGTTTTTACATGAGCATGTTGTTTCTTTTGGGGGGGTAATATCTACTTTTATAATAAAAGAACAAAATATGCTATTTCTTTTCTTTTTTATAGAAATGTACCATTTTATTACAAAGCCTCACAAAAATTAAAATAGTATCTTAGAAAGGAAGCTAGACTACCAACCTTCACCTGTGGAACTGGGGGGAAGACAGGGAAGTATGAGTTTCTTGGCTCTCTTGAGGCCAGTGGGAAGGTAAGAAAACAACCAATGGCTGATTTTAGGAGTCTGAAAAGTACAGGGGGTCCCTGAAGACCCACCCATCTCTTTTAGAACACTTAGTAAGGGCACCTTTCCAAAGCTACTAAATAGACCCTTGTCATTTTAGGATTTTTCTTATGGTTACATCCCTTCCCCCCAGATCTGCACTGTAGATGGTTCAAAGAGGGATGGGGAACAAGGCAAGTGCTGGAAGTTTGCTCAGCACAGCTGCCTTGGGATCAGGGCCCTGGTTCCTATCTAGTCCCTGGGGACATTTATATTTAATACAAGATATGCTATTTCCACTTAGGAAAAACAAGACCAAAAATAATTAAATGAGCCAGCCTGAAGACTGTAGGTGGTAGCAGGAAACAGCCACTCCCAGTAAACCACTGTGCTGCTGCAGTGACCAAAACAGGCTTTGGGTTCCAGAATTTGTTTTAAGACAATAAACCCAAACATTCTATTATCATGTGATTTTTGGGTTAAAAGCAAATGTGTGTTTATGACTTGGACCTTAAATTTCATAACTGATTTTCTACTTTATTTCTAAAACTTATGAGAGAAAAACCACAAGCAGTAATATAAAAAGTAACATCATTCTTTTTAATTTTTTTTTTTTGTTTTTTAGTTGTTGACAGACCTTTATTTATGTATTTATATGTGGTGCTGAGAATCGAACTCAGTGCCTCACACATGCCAGGCAAGTGCAATACTGCTGAGCCAGAGCTCCAGCCCAAAAACGTAACATCATTCTTAATGGAAGATATTGTATCCCATCTCCCTCCCCCGCATTAAAAAAAAAAAAAGTAAACAAGGGAAGGTCATTCTCTATAGTCTACTGGCTTTATTGTCTTTGAAGGATACTGATCTTACATCTGCTAAGGATAAATATGTAGTCATTTTCTCTCTTAATTCTTAGGGAATATCCACCTATCACTTCAGATCAACAAAGACAACTCTACAAGCGAAATTTTGACACTGGCCTGCAGGAATACAAGAGCTTACAAGCAGAACTTGACGAGGTCAATAGAGAACTCTCTCGTCTAGATAAAGAATTGGATGACTATAGAGAAGAAAGTGAAGAGTACATGGTAAATTCAAACCTGATATTTATATATTGCATAGAATTTGATTTCTAATCTATGGAGAAATAGCATCCTTTATGCTAAAGTTGATAAAATTTATTTCTTTTTTTGCTAAAACACAATTTCATAGTTGAAATGAGTTTTGGATGACAGTTTTTCCAAATTGTTGATTGTACTAAGAATTATAAAATCATATTATATGTACCTCTACTCCTTTCTATTTAAAAGAAAATAGCTAGATTATTTTTTTCTACTTGTAAACATAATGTATGCTTTCTGTAAAAAACTCAATACAGAGGGCTGGAGTTGTGTCTCAGAGGTAGAGTGCTTGCCTAGCACGTGTGAGGCCCTGGGTTCAATTCTCAACACCACATAAAAATAAATAAAATAAAGGTATTGTGTCCAACTACAACTAAAAAATAAATATTAAAAAAAAATATAGAGCTAGGCATGGTGGTGCATGCCTGTGATCACACCTACTTAGGAGGCTGAGGCAGAAAGATCACAAATTCAAGGCTCCTTGGTTTCTTAGTGAGACCCCATCTTGAAATAAAAAGTAAATGACTGGGATATAGTTCAGTGATAGAATACTTGTGTGAGGTCTAGAGATTAATCCTCAGTACCACAAGCAAACAAAGACCCCCAAATTTAATACAGAAATGTATATAGAAAAATATATCACTTTAAATCCTATCTCCAAAAAATTCTTGTCACCACAATACTAGTTGTTAGCATATCCTCCTTATGAGGGACTAATGTAGGCATATATAGTCTCTAGTACAGAATCATCTTTTATCTTTCCTCCTTTCTTACTCAAGAGTGAAATAATGAACTATTTTTCCCTTGATCACCCAGTTAAGGTAGTGTTGGTCCATATAAAGTTAATTTCTTTTTGTCTCTTTTTTCCTTCCTTCCCACCCTTCCCTTCTTCTTGCCTGCCTGCCTGTCTTCTTGCTTGCCTTCCTTCTTTCTTTCTCCATCCCAGAGGATTGAACTTAGGGGCAGTCTACCACTGAGCTATACCCCCAGCCATTTTTATTTTGAGACAGGATCTCTTTATGTGGCCCAGGCTGGCCTTGAACTTTTTTTTTTTTTTTTTTTTTTAAAGAGAGAGGTGAGAGAGAGAGAGAGAGAGAGAAAGAATTTTTTTTTAATATTTATTTTTTAGTTTTCGGCGGACACAACATCTTTGTATGTATGTGGTGCTGAGGATCGAACCTGGGCCGCACGCATGCCAGGCGAGCGCGCTACCGCTTGAGCCACATCCCCAGCCCATGGCCTTGAACTTTTAATCCTTCTGCCTCAGCTTCCCTATTAGCTAGAATTACAGGTGTGTGCCACCACACTGAGCTTATTTTTTTCTTTTTAAGCTGTCTATATGGCATTTTGTATGGATACTGAAATTTATATAGATATGTCACTCTTTAAAGAGATTAGTCTGTCTCCCATCTATTTGTTAATTTTATCATTGATGTAAGTGTGGATTCATGAGTATTTTTTTCATACTTTGAGTTATGATCTAATAGAATTTATTTTGTGGTTAATTTTTTTCAGTTTTAACCACTGAGAACTCTTTCAATTGCTTCCTATGACTCTTGGATATTCTTTATCCTTGTGGCCCCTCCCCTCTCCTCCTCTTATACTAAGGGTAGAACCCAGGGTCTCATGCATACTAATCAAGTATGTTACACCCGCAGCCCCATCTTGTCCTTCTTAAAAAATATATTCTAGCATTGCTTATTTCTTGCTTTTGCTGAGCAATAGTTTGTAGTGACTCTGGAAACTGAACAGAAGGATCACAAGTTCAAGGCCAGTCTTGTCAACTTAGCAAGACCCTATCTCAAAATTAAAAAAAAAAAATGGGGAGGGGCTAGGGGTGTGGCTCAGTGGTACAATGCCTCTGCATTCAGTCCCCATACCAGAAAAAGAAAAAAAAAAGTTTGTGGTTATTGTTTAAATCTACTTTTTCCTTTCATATTTTTTATTAGTGCATTATAGTTATACATAATTTGGGTTCATTTTGACATAATTATGTAAGCATGGAATATAATTTTCTCTGATTCAGTCCCCAGTACTTCCCCTTTCCCTACCCTCCTCCCTCTCCCTTTTCTCCTTCTTTTACTTTACTGGTTGTCTTCTACTTTTTGGGTTTTAATTAGTGCTTTATAGATATACATAAAGGTGAAATTCATTGTGGTATATTTGTTTATGGACATAGAATAGGTTTGTTCATTTCATTCCATAGTTCCTCCCTTTTCCCATCCCTCCTCTCTCTCTCTCAATCCCCTACCTCTACTCCACTGATCTCTTCTATATTCATGGGATTCCACCCCCACATTTTTTTTTCTTTTCTTTTTCTTTTTTTTTTCAAAAGGCACACTGTGAAGTTTATTTTGTCTGCTTTCTTGCCAAGACCCAAAGAGGTTAAGTGACTTGTCTCAAGTCACACAGCAAGCAAGTGGCAGAGTTAGACCCAAACCCAGCTCTCCTGATAAGCAGCTAGTGATAGTTGAGGGCTTTGTCTTTTTCTTCCTGTCTAATACCTGAGATTCAGGGGAAAAAAAAAATAGTGTGCTTTTCACCTTATAATCTGGCCCCCCATGGAAGTGTGGTGGGGAGACTTAGTTCTCCATCTTTGGGGGATCAGAAAGGGTCATCAGGGACCCTTTCAGCCCTTATTTTGCTCTAGCTTCCACATAAGACAAAAGATTTGACCCTGGAGTTTCTGCGTATGGTTTATTTCACTTGCCATGATTTCTCCAGTTCCATCCATTTACCAGCAAATTCCATAATTTCATTCTTTATAGCTGAGAAACTCCATTGTGTATATATACTGCATTTTCTTTACCTGTTCATCTGTTGATGGACACCTAGGTTGGTTTCATAACTTGGCCTTTGTGAATTGTGCTACTATAAACATTGAAGTGGCTTTATCATTGTAGTATGCTGATTTTTAGATCTTTCGGATAACTACCAAAGAGTGGGATAGCTGGATCTTATGGTGATTCATTTCCAGTTTTTTGAAGACTCTTATTCTGATTTCCAGAGTGGCATAATTGGCAGTCCTACCAACAATGCATGAGTGCACCTTTTCCTCCACATCCTGGCCATCATTTATTATTATTTGTATTCTAGATAATTGCCATTCTGACTGAAGATAAAGTCTCAATGTCGGGTTTTTTTTTTTTTTTTTTTTTGGTACCAGGGATTGAACCCAGAGGCATTTAACCATTGAGCCACATCCTCAGCCCATTTTATTTTGAAACAGGATCTCACTAAGTTGCTTAGGACCTTGCTAAGTTGTTGAGGCTGGCTTTGAACTTCCGGTCCTTCTGCCTCAGCCTCCAGAACCACATGGGCCACTGCACCTGGCTCAATGTAGTTTTGATTTGTATTTCCCAAATTGCTAGAGAAGTTGACCATTTTTTCATATATTTGTTGGTCATTTGTATATCTTCTTTTGAGAAGTGTCTGTGTAGTTCTTTTGCCCTTTTATTGATTGGGTTATCCTTTTGCATGTGTGTTAAGTTTTCTGAGTTCCTTATATATTCTGGATATTAATTCCCTGAGGAACAGATGACAAAGATCTTCTCCCATTCTGTAGGCTTTCTCTTCATACTCTAGTTTCCTTTGCTGTGCAGAAGCTTTTTAATTTGATGCCATCCTACTTATTCTTGGTTTTATTTCTTATGCCTTAGGAGTCTTGTTAAGGAAGTTGATGCCTATGCCAACATGGAGGAGTTGAGCCTACATTTTCTTCTAACAGTTGCAGAGCTTCTATTCTAATTCCTAGGTCCACTTTGAGATGGCTTTTGTGCAGGATGAGAGATGGAGATCAAGTTTCCTTCTTCTGCATACAGATATCCTATTTTTCCAGCATATTTATTTAAAAGGCTATCTTTTCTCTAGTCTATATTTTTGGTACCTTTGTTAATGATCAGAAAACTGTATCTATGTGGATTTATCTCTGTGTTTTCTGTTCTATCCCAGTGATCTTGTCTGTTTTGGTGGCAATACTGTGCTGTTGCCTCTAGCATTGCTCTTCTTGCTTAGATTTGCTTTGGCTGTTCTGGGTCTTCCAAATGAATTTTAGAACTGTTTTTCCTAGTGTCTTTCTTTTTTCTTAAAATATGGAATGCTTTACAAATTTGTGTGTCATCCTTATGCAGGGGCCATCCTAATCTTCTCTGTCTCACTCTAGTTTTAGTATATGTGCTGCTGAAGCGAGCACTGTTTTTTCTAATTCTGTGAAGACTGTCATTGGTATTTTGATGGGGATTGCATTGAATCTATATAAAACTTTTGGTAGTATGGCCATTTTGACAATATTAATTCTGTCTTTCAATGAACATGGGAGGTATCTTCTAAGGCTTTCTTCAATTTCTTTCTTCAGGGTTCTGTAGTTTTCATTGTAGAGGTCTTTGACCTCCTTGGTTAGATTTGTTCTCAAATGTGTGTGTATTTCTTAGTTTATTTTTTGAGATTATTGTGAATGGTTTTATGGGCTCATAAAGATCTACTTTTTAGGGCTTGGGTTGTGATTCAGTGATAGAGAGAACTTGCCTTGCATGCATGAGGTACTGGGTTTGATCCTCAGCACTACATAAATAAATAATATAAAGGTATTGTGTCCATCTACAGGAAAAAAAAAAAAAAACTACTTTTAAATTTTTTACCTGTAAAAATAGCTACACAATTTTCAATTTTAAGGTTGTGCCATAATTTACTTAAGAGTAATCCACAGCAGCCACCACAGTGGTGCACGCCTGTAATCCCTGCAGCTTGGGAAGCTAAGGCACGAGGATTGCAAGTTCAAAGCCAGCCTTTTCTCAAAATAACTAACTAAATAAAAAGGGGTGGGATGTGGCTTAGAGGTTGACTGCCGCTGGGTTCAATCCTTCATACAAAAAAGAAAAAGTAATCCTCTGCAGATAGACATTCAGTATGTCTCTTCTACCCTGGAAGGCACAGGTGATCTTCTCCAGTTTTGCATTCTTGTCTGCTGTCTAGTTAAAACAAATGCCAGAATATGGAATGGGTGAACAATAGGGTATCTGCATTTTAACTTTCACTATAAAACTGTCCTCTAGAATTATACCAACTGCATTCCCCTAGTAATGCACTAGGGGGCTCAGTTGACCCACATCTCTCTAGTGCCTGAAAAATTAACTACCTTGTGTCTTAGGTATTACTAATTAAATACTTTCTCATCACTTTATATTTTTATTGGAATTTCATATTTATTTATTTTTTTATTTTTATTTTTTTTTAAAGAGAGAGTGGGAGAGAGAGAGAGAATTTTTTTTTTTTTAATATTTATTTTTTAGTTCTCGGCAGACACAACATCTTTGCTTGTATGTGGTGCTGAGGATCGAACCCGGGCCGCACGCATGCCAGGCGAGCGCGCTACCACTTGAGCCACATCCCCAGCCCTCATATTTATTTTATTAAATATTCTTTGCAGTTTTTCAATTAAGGCCATCTGCTTTTCCGTTTTGAAGTATTTGCTTTTATAGCTTGATTTGTCTGTTTTGTGGTTTCTATATGGTATTGTGATAAACCTTTCTCAGTTAACATTTATTGGTCACTTTTTGAATCTTTGTTGATGTGGAAGTGCTGAGATTATAAAGTCAAAATGCATGTCTTCCCTCCTCACCAAAGAATTTATATACTAAGAGAAAAACTGACATGTAAATAAATTATTGTAACTGCTGTATTTACGTTATGTACAGAAAGCACATTTAAGTGCTCAGAGAATAAAGTCAACTAAAGGCCTAGTGAGTTATAGAGGAAGCATCACTGAGCTGTGTCTGTCACAAATTTTCTAGCGAGGCACATACCTATGGCACATATATGTAATCTCAGTGACTTGGGAGGCTGAGGCAGGAGGAATACAAGTTCAAGGTCAACCTCAGCAACTTAGCAAGGCCAATCTTGAAGGAAGAAAAGAAAGAAAAGGGAAAAGGACTTGGGATGTAGCTTGGTGGTAAGGTGCCCCGGGTTCAATCCCTAATACCCTGCCCCTCCAAAAAAGAAATTTCTAGATAGAGCTGGGCACAGAGATGTATGTCTGTGCTTCCAGCAACTTGGGAGGCTGAGGGAGGAGGAGTGCAAGTTAGCAAGAACTTGTCTCAAAATAAAATTTAAAAAGGGCTTGAGATGTAGCTTAGTGGTAAAGTGTTCTATGTACTGGAAAACAAAAAACGGATAGAAGGGAGTGGTGTACAGTGAGTGCAATGCAGGATTAGATGTCCATAAGGAAAACATGGTAGAAATATTGATGCATTAGCCTGCCTAATTTTTTTTTTTTTTTAAAGGAGTTGCTAATGGTGGACACCAAACTGGGAAATTAGATGAGTAAAGTTTATGGGAATCTCAGACCAGTTTCATAGTGGGATATAACCAGATCAGATCTGCATTACAATTCAGAAGACTTTTCTGATGTCAGTGTTGCATGTGGCCTGGCATGGGGGGAAAGATGAGAAGCTTCAGAACAAATTATTCCCTGCCCATATGAATGGAATGCACGTGAAAATAATATCAGAAACGTTTCTTCAGCTGGGCACGGTGGTGCACACCTGTAATCTCAGCTATTTGGGAGCTGAGGCAGGAGGATCATAAGTTGGAGGCCAGCCTTACTGATGCCCTGTCTTAAATTTTAAAAATAGGGCAAGGGGTGTTGCTCAGTGGTAGAGCATCCCTAGGTTCAATCCCCAGTACTGCCACCTACCATATGTTGTCACTAGATACCTTCCTGCTGACTATAACTTGGTAAATTTTTAAAAGCTGTAAAGCTTCATTAATTCCTTATATTCTTATCATAAACTGGTCTTTTTAGCTCCAAAGTGCGACATCAGGAATGTTATTCTTCAAAGAGAAATGCCCCACTAAACACATTGCCTTGTGTTTCTCATTAATAGGCTGCTGCTGATGAATACAATAGACTGAAGCAAGTTAAGGGAGTAAGTATCCTGAATTGTAAGATTCTTTCAGGAAAATCTTTTCTATGTTTTTATTTATTTATTTATTTAACCTTTAGGATGACTAAGAATACCTTCTTACGCATGCACTGGTTATTGAGAAAAAGCCTTGTAATTTTGATAGGAATACTATAACTCAGCAGTTGGAACTTTAATTTCAGTTGTTTGCTGCTACAGTCCATACTGATTTTCTGAAAACTTTTTTTTTTTAAGTATACAGACAAAGTGTTGAAATCAAAGTATACAACTTGGTAAATTTTCATAAAGTGACTGCACTCCAATGCACTGGCATCCAAATCAAGAAATACATTTCCTTGTGACCTGGCAACCCCCACCCCATCTTTTTTCCCTGATATCTTGAACTTTATATAAATAGAATCATACAGTATGTATTTTGTGTGGGGGATTTCTTTTATGATGTTTACAAGTTCCTTTCATATTTTGGCATGTAGTTCTGGTTCATTTATTTTTATTGCTATGCTGTGTGTTTAATGATTAAAACACAACTTGGACTTAGGATGAAACTCAATATGCATGAAGCCCAAGGTTCTATCCCCAGCATGGCAAAAAAACCATACACACAATTTATTCATCTACTCTATTGCAAATCAACATTTGAGTTCCCGATTTTTGACTTTTACAAATAAGGCAGTATGAAATATTTTTGTAAATGTGCAAACATTTAATAGGTACAAACTCAGAAGTGAAATCAGAGTCATTGGGCATGCAGTAGAAGGCATGTGTGTATCTAGCCTTAATAAACACTGTCAAATAGCTTTCCAGGATAGTTGTGCCATTTATATTCCCTCTGAGCAATGCAGCCCCCGTTGTTCTGTGTCCTTGCTAACACTTGGTATTATCAATCATTGACATTTTTAAGATTTTACTTTAAAATTTTTGTGAATTATGAAGCATCATGATTTTAAATAAGAGTTTTAAAACAGTATGTAGTAAACTTCTCTTATCCCCTGTTCGATAATGCCAGTTTCTTATTTCACTAATTTTTGTAGATGATCTGATAGAAAAAAAGGCCAATAAGTCGTCTTGGTGATTTAATGAATTTTTAGAAGTGAGCGTATGCTTTGTGAAATCCAGGTTAGAACATAAAATTGAGTAAAGTGAATCAGCTGCCTATGTGGTTGGCAGTACCACCAGACACTTTAAATATATTCATTTAACACTCAGCAATTCTTTATGACTAATATTCCCTTTGTTCACCTCTGCCTTCTCAGCAGACCTGTTTTAATTGTGTTGAATTCATGTGATTCATTTTTCCTCCCTTTTAGTCTGCAGATTACAAAAGAAAGAGAAATTACTGCAAACAGTTGAAGAGTAAATTGTCACACATCAAGAAGATGGTTGGAGACTATGATAGACGGAAAACTTAGAAGGCAGATGCCACAGTGCTGGAGAAATTAAGGAATATCTATCTGATATCTCTGAAATGTTCTCAGAAGGCAAATGATTTTGGACTCTTATCTAGGAAGCCAAACTCGGTGTTCATTACAAAGTTTTGGTAGCTTTAATATCATCAGTTTCATATCATCAGTATTGAAGCATTTATAAATAACTTTTGTTAATCAACTGGGCTGAACACTCCTATTAAGGATTTTATAGTTTAAACACTGGTTCTCGTATTAAGAACAAAATAATGCTGTTTGAGGTTTTTAAACCTTAAAGGAAGGTCCTGGTATGAACTGTGCTGTGAATTTTCACACCCAAGAAAGCATCTAATCTTCCCAACAATGCTTTAGATAATTATTATTTATAATCATTTCTTTTTAAATAAGAAAACTGGGTCCCTGCAATGAAGTCTCTGAAGTGAGACTGCTTGTGTACTAGCATATGCTTTTGGTTATGTCTATTTTATGACTCCATTAATAATAAAGTCCCTGCCTTTGGAATTTTAGCTACTGTGTATACTACATTCTGCCAACCTCCCTATTGATTTTTTTCTGTTATAAAAATGATTAAAAGGGTTTTTTTTGTTGCTTTTTGTCACCTGTTAATTAAGATCATGTAAAATTAACAAATGTATGAAATTTAAAGATTGTAAATATATGTGTGTGTGTATGTGTGTGTGTATATATATATACACTTTTTAAAAATGAAAGCTTAAACCTAGTGTTTAGAATTTTGTGTTTTTAAGTAGTTTTTATCTTTTATGGTTTACATGCATTTTTTGGTAATCAACTAGACCTTTTTCACTATATCAGAATGTCCCATTACATTCATAATTGAATTATGACTTGAATTATATCATACAGGAATGTTCAACTTCTGTACATATTTCATAAGGTATTAAACCTGGTGTTCTCTTTTTGTAATATACAGTTTGATGTCATTAGTATGGTTAATATTAGGCTGTGGAAAACTACACTCAGGAGTTGTCCCTTGTTTTAAACTATTTTGTGTGCTGTGCTTGTTGGCAATTTCCCAATCCTTTGGCTGTAAGAAGGCTAATGTGTCTGGAAATAGACTGCTATTCCATAAAACACCAAATTATTTCAAACCGTTCCTTTAAATCTCATCACTTCTTTAAAAACTTCAAATTCTTATTAGAAGTAAAATTAGTTCCTAATACTATGCTAACCAAGTTGATTGTGTTTATCCCAGTTTTGATTGTTTTTCTGACAATTGAATAATCTTTAGTATGCAATTCAGGCATTGAAGTTTATAATTTTCTGTGTACAATTTTGCATTAGTTTCTAAAGATAAACTTTTAAATAATGTTTTCATGGAACACTGTTTCACTTCTTCAAATTGAAGAAATTCTTATCTTTCTATATGCTACGTAATATGTTTCTATATTATACAAAAGGCATTTCCAAAGTTTTTAGATTCACATCAAATGGAAATGAGCATGAGCACATTCACTGATTTTTTTTTTTCTTTTTATTCGGACTGGGGATTGAACCCCTAGCCTCAAGCATGCAAGGCAAGCACTCTATCACTGAGCTAAATCACTAACCCACCTTCACTGATTTTTGTTAAACATTTAATTATGTTCTTGGAAATCATTTTACCTTGTTTGTGAAGGCAAGTTTGCCAGTGTTCTCATAGAACAACTTTTCCACTGAACACAGAAAATGAAATAGGAAGGATTGTAAAATTGTGCCATAAAATTGGACTTTGAAATAAAATAAGAAAATAATTGTTGAAATGCAGTACGTAGCAATAAAGGTCACTTCAGGAAGCCAGGATCAGAAGACTGTGGATCATGGATCCAGGGGCTCTGGCATCAGTTGGGACTAGGGTTTCTCACCCAGGCATTCTCCCTGCTTAGGCATCAGGATGGAAGTGTCTCCACTCTGGATTTTTTCAAAGGCTCAGCTGGAACAATCAGAAAACACACTTGATCTCCTGGGTGTTCGTGATTCTACTACACTACACCACTCTCACTCCCCCCTTCCATCCCTACCTTTAAAATTTTTAATTCTGAGACTGGGTCTCATTAAGTTGCCAAAGCTGTCCTCACACTTGCTTTTTCTTTTTTTGTCCTTGAACTTTCAGTCCTCTTGCCTCAGCCTCCTGAGTTGTTGGGATTACTACAGGCATGTGCCAGTGTGCCTGGCGCTCTATACCACCTCTTGGGTGAAAGGAAAAATAGATGTAGAAGTACGTAATCCCTTATTTTATATTGTTAACATTTTTTCTATTGAAAAGAAATGAGTAAAATGCTTGAATAATTAGGGAAGCTTTTAGAAAATATTGTATCAGTAAATTATTATGTCCCTTTGTAGTTAGAAAAGTGATATAGCTACATGGCCAGGATGTTTTTATATGACAGCAACAAAATGCAGAAGGGTATTCCATAAAGTTTCTCATTTGTTGCCTGCAAAGCATCTGTTCTATTCTTGGCTTTGCCCTTCAGCAGTTACTCAAGTATGTCCTTGGATGAATTACTTAACCATCCTGTTCTTCAGGTTTTTGAATCTGTAAAAGATATTTGTAATGACCTAATTTTAAAGGTAATATATCCTTGTCTAAAAGTAAATATGGAAATGGAGAGTAGCACTCAGCAATGCTAGTTTCCCTTTCTCCCCCTTTAAAACTTTGTTAATGTGAGACAACATAAAAACTGAACAATAAGACCTTGTCATTCCAGAGGAAATGACATTGGAGTTGCCACCAAACCCTGTAGCTATCATCATTTTGCATATAGGTAATTTAAAATCCAGCTGTGGTCTTTCTACTACAATGTAGGAAACCTGTCTTATGATTTTGAGGGAGGTAGAATGCAGACCAGGAAGATTTGGGTACCAACAAAACAATAAAGACAAAGGATTGAATATGCTGATAAGAGAAGGAAAGAGATCATTGCTCATGAGGTTCCTTTCTGCTATTTCTCCCTTAGTCCCTGGCTCTTTTCTGATCCTTTGGAGGTTGCCTTGCCTCTCCATTTCTCAAGTGTGAGAAATTCTAGTAACTCCATATGTATCAGTATATATCTCAAACAATTTGTCCAAAACTGAACTGATCTTACTCATGGCCTCTCAGCAATTGCAACTACACCCTTTCAGCTAAAAACTTTGGAGTTATGATCAATGACTTTTATTGATCATGATCAGGATTTTTTTTTTTTTTTATATAACATCCAGTCTTTCCACTTATCATGAGCTGCACTGCCATACTGAATTGGTCAAAGCCATCCTGGCCTCTCCTGAATTCTTACAATGCTGTTAGTCCTCCACCCCTTCATGATTTTAGCTGCCACTGAAGAAGGACTCAGTCACTGACATACTCCATTTTGTCCATCTCTGCCTCCATTTGCCTCCAACTTTTTTGTCTTTCTGAGCCACTCTTTGGTATTTACTTTGGATTCTAAGAACAGGTTTGATGGATAAGGAACCAAAAGTACCTCCAAGCAATGCCACCACTGAGCAGATCACCCCTTGATGAGATTGCCCTTACTAAGCAGGAGCAACTGCCCCATGATGGAACCAAGGCTGTGCCCCCAAAGCAGGAGCAATCATGATGGGAATTGAACTGCTCCCCTCAAGCGATAATGGCTTTCCAGGAGCTTCCTAGAACTAATCCCAAAATGATCAATGGGACCATGGCCTGACCAAGGCTCCCTCCAATCCTTACCTTTGCTGTAAAATCTCAACGTTCCTGTCAACACCTTAGGTCACTGAACCTCTTTATTTGTTCTTCCCACTGTAGCCAGGCTGATAAAAGCTCTTTTTCTTCACCACAGCTGGTCTCCTTGATTGGCATATTGGGAAGGTGACTGAGCCCAGTTTGTTTGGGCCTCTTGCCCTAAAAATTCCAATGACATCACTACGCCCACTGCAACAGTCCCTAAACCACACCAGGGTGTTTCTACTCAGAGCCTTTGTGCTTGCTGTTTACTTTGTCTGGAGAGCTTTTCCCCCAGGTGACGTTAACTCCTTCCTTCCTTTGGGTTATGGCTCTCACTGAAAATTCCTCTGACCACCGTGTTTCAAACTGCAACCCTTTCCCTCTATAAGCTTATTTTTTCTGAATAGTACCACCACCATTTGATACATTTTTCACCCTTCTTCCTTTCCCCAGTGATTGAACCAGAATGCTTTACCACTAAGCTACATCCCCAGCCCTTTTAATTTTTTATTTTGAGGCAGGGTCTTGCTAATATTCCCAGGCTGGGCTAGAATTTGCGATGTTCCTCCCTCAGACTTCGAGTGGCTGAGATTACAGGAGTATGCCACCGCGCCCGTTTTTCTTAATAGTTTTCCCCCTAGTAGGGGAAAAAAAAAAAAAAACCTCTACCGGGATAAAGATTTTTTAAGTTTTCATTACCATTTTCTCGGCGCTTAATAAAATACCGTTGCACAGCATGGTCCTGGCCCTGCTGCCGTGATTAGAGTATTTCATCCCAACCTTTAGAAATCAACAAAATCAAACTCCTCAGAGCTCGCAACGGACGGTTGCTGTACCTCTGAACTCGCAGGAGTGAATAGTGACCGCTCTTCCCGCCTCTTTGCGAAGACCAGCTAGGAAGCACCTAGTTGGCTCAGGGAAGAATGTTTGGCAGCCGAGTTCCCAGCCGGAACGTTTCTGCGTGACTGCAGCGCACTGCGGAAGAACGTTGACGGCGCTCCTTTAGGAATGGGCGGCGCTTCCGGCAGAGAATCGTCCCCGCAAGATTGGTGAGTTGGCTGGTGGAGGTTCTTGCGGCGCCTTGCCCGGGCAAGCTGTCAAGTGAGGCGGCTAGTAGGGGACTTCGGGCCCAGGTCGTGTTGAATTGCCCTGGCTGGCTCCTTAGGGTAGCAGGGAGCGTGTGAAGGCGGAGGAGGATGGCTTCCGTGCCGGGAGCCGTGGGGAAGCATCGGAGCTGCGGTTTGCGGGAATGTTTCTCTCAACCTAGGGCAGAGTTTTAGCAGTTACGCTTGGTTCGAGTTGGTGACCTACCTCCATCTGTGTCCTCTAAAAAGTTACCAGCTTCTGTGCCTCAAGTTCCATATCTGAAAAACGGGGACAGTAATCTCCCTTGCCTGTCTCATCACTTGTTTGGCAGAGTAAGGTGTGAGGGAAAGCTTTACAAATTGTGATGTTTGGGGAAGCTCCCATTTGTTTGCAGCATTCCGAATTCATATTAACAGCAATCACAAGTCTAGGCTCACTTTGGGGGATATGGATTTTCTGGGGTTGGATTCCAGGAAATGGATCAGCGACATATTTAAGATGATGAACTATTGGGAATTCATAAGCCATTGGAGATCTTCCAGAGTACCTCTTTCTCCAAGATGCATAAAACTCTTCTCTATTAATAGAATTAATTCTAAACATCCAACTTACTTTTGTACATCTATAGTTTGATGGTGCTCCTTTTCTTTCTCTGATTTACCATTGCAGATATTTCTAATGAAGATGTCCTTGTACACAATGAGCCGAGACCTTTCCAGCTTCCAGTTTCTACTCACTGGTTCTCACTTTGTTTATGAATTTCAGAGAATGAATAATTATAAACAATTAAAAATAAAATGCAATTTAAATATTGATGTGATGAATGGCAGGAGCCATGTTTTCAAAAATTGGAGTTTAAAAATATTGAGAACATTATGTGATCTTTTCTGGACTTTTTAAAAAATATTGTTTTTTAGTTCTAGATGGACACAATACCTTTATTTTATTTACTTATTTTTGTATAGTGCTGATAATTGAACCCAGAGCCTCACACGTGCTAGGCAAGTGCTCTACCACTGAGCCACAACACCAACCCTTCTGGTCTTGATGTTCACAATAAATCCAGATAACACAGGATCAAAATGTTCACTTTAGTCTCTATATTATGCTCCTACACGCATCATCAAACCCACAAGGCACCAACATAGGGTACTGAAATAGCACAGATGTTAAAACTATTGTCTAGTTCTTCATGATATTAAAGTCGGTCACCAAGTTTCCTTTCAATACAAGGTCATATTGTATGTTTAATTTGTGTCCTTATGAATTATGAGCCTTAAGTGATGAACTTTCAGGATTTCTTTCAGTGACAGTGAGTGGTTTATTTATGTAGTGGGAAATATACAGAATTTTAGTTAATAATATCTGTTGCAGTAGGTGCCACAAAAAGAAGTGAAGCCTTAGAAGCAGGCTCCATCCAACTTGTCAGTAGATTTTAATTCCAAATGTCTACTTATAGGTCAGATCTTCAGATTTTATTAGTTATTTTTTTGGTACTGAGGATTGAACCCATGGGCACTTTACCACTGAGTTACATTCTCAGTCCTTTTTATTTTAAATAGGGTCTCAGTGAGTTGTTGAGAATCTTACTAAGTTGCTGAAGTTGAACCTGGAACTTGTAATCCTTCTCTTTAGACTCCTGACTCACTGGGATTAGTGGTGTGTGCCACCATACCTGGCAGTTATATATATATTTTTTAAAATAGCTTTTTATAGAAGCAGTGAATACACAGAGGATAAAGTATTGGTTATGGTCCTTATTACAAAAAATAATCTTTGTCTCTGCCAATGACAGAGGATATGCTATTGTCCTCAGTGTCTTGGCACTTAAAGATTCCTTGGCCTGGCATGGTAGCAAATGTCTATAGTCCCAGCTACTCGGGAGGTAGATGTATGAGGATCACAAGTTCTAGGCCAACCTCAGCAACTTGGGAAGACCCTGTCTCATACATCTACCTCCCGAGTAGCTGGGAATGTAGCTCAGTGGTAAAGTGCCCCTGGGTTCAACCCCCAGTACCAACCCCCACCCCCAAAATCCTTTGATCCTTTATTTACGGAGGAAGGAAATTGAACATGCAGTAGGAAGGGAGATGGCATTGGGAAAGGTGGAGATAAAGGTATTAGGGATGTTTATTACTTGGTTATTGTTCATGGGTTATTGTTCATTGATTTTATCCTAAATTATGAAAGAAATTTATGTAATAAGAACATACAGAAAAGAATAAATAAGCAAAAAAATCCAATTACTCTTCATCCTATCATGCAGTTGATACCACTTGTCCCATTTATTGAATATCAGTATTTCCTTTGTTTTTTTCTTAAATATTTGAGGTCATATTGTATGTTTAATTTGTGACCTTATGAATTATGAGCCTTAAGTAATGAACTTTCATTTTTCAAAACTTTTGATTATGCCAGGTGTATGGAACATGCTTGTAATCCCAGCTACTCTGGAAGCTGAGGTAGAAGGATTGTTAGTTCAATCATCCTGGGCAACTTAAAAGACCCTGGCTCAAAAAAAAGGCGGGTGGGGCACTGAGACTTTAAAGCTTATCTGAGTTCAATTCTCAGTACCTAAATGAATAAGTACTTTTGATTATAAGAACATTCAAGCCTGCTCAAAAGTGGAGAGAGAGTACATGAATTGTCATTGTCTATCACTAAGCCATAATAATTTTCAGTTGTGGTTAATCTTGTTTTAGCTACCCTTGTACCTACTTCCCATAATTCTGTGATCTTGTCCAGTAATAAATCTATAAAGCATTTTTTTTTTTTTTACAATTAAAAAGATTCAAGGGGCTGGGGTTGTGGCTCAGCGGTACAATGCTTGCCTCACATGTGAAGCACTGGGTTGAATCCTCACCACCACATAAAAATAAATAAACAAAAAAGATACTTTTTCTATTGGTGCCAAGTTTATTTATAAATACTCATATTCTTTATTGGAAATAGAAAAATAAAAAAGAGTTCCATGAAGGTTTTGTACTTTCATCCTATAGCAATTGAATAGACTAGAAACTAAAATAAGATGCCCTGAATTCTCAGTTTTTTACTTTTTAAAGTTTCTCTTGAACTTTTAAATAAGTGGATGTATTTTTGTAACAAATATCTTTAGAAAACTCATGATATAATTTTTTTTTTACAGAATGCTGAATAATACATTTTTAAAAATATGGATGAAGAACCTGAAAGAACTAAGCGGTGGGAAGGAGGCTATGAGAGGACATGGTAAGTAGGGCATTATTGCCCTCTTTTTTCTTTTGGACATTGTCTCTTTGTCTCTCTCTCCCTCTCTTTTAATTTAGTGAACTGTATTTTACATATGCTATAATTCTCCCATTTCCAATATATAATTCAGTGATTTGTTTTAGAAAATTTACTAAGTTGTGGAGCCATTTCTAGAAACCAGTTTTGGATTTTTTTTTTTTGATACTGAGGCTCAAACCCAGAGGTGCTTAACCACTGATCTACATCCCCAGTTCTTTTTATTTTTTAAAACAGGGTCTTGCTAAGTTGCTTAGGGCCTCGATAAGTTGTTAAGGATGGCCTCGAACTTTGTATTCCTCCTGCCTAGCTTCCTGAGCTGCCGGCATTACAGGTGAATGCCACCGCCCCCTACCCAGTTTTGGAACATTTTAACCATTCCAATAAGATCCTTCATTCCTATTTATAATTAGTTTCATTTCTACCACCTGTAAACAATCACTAATCTACTTTCTATTTCTGGATATTTCACATAAGTAATCATACAATATGTGGTGTAGTGGGTCTAGCATTCATTTAACATACTATTTCAAGGGTCATCTATGTTGTAGTTTGTATTAGTACTTCATTCTTTTTTTGCTGCTGAATAGTATTCCATTATATTGTTATACTGCATTTTTAAAAATATTTTTTAAAACATTTATTTTAATATTTTTTAGCTGTTGATGGACTTTATTTTTTATTTTTATGTGGTGATGAGGATTGAACCCAGTGCCTTATGCATGCTAGGCAAGTGCTCTACCTGTGAGCCACAACCCCAGCACCTGCTGTTATACCACATTTTTGTTTATCCATTCACTAGTTGATGGACATATAGGTTGATAATAGTTTTTGGCTATTATGAATAGTGCTGCTATAAAACATGCAAAAATGTACACATCTTTTATATATGTTTCATTTCTCCAGTTAATATTTTTAGCTTATCTTTTCAAACAATTATTTCTTATAGGGAAATTCTTAAAGAAGATGAATCTGGTTCACTTAAAGCTACAATAGAAGACATTCTCTTCAAGGCAAAGAGAAAAAGGTATATAAATCCTTCTAAGTGTGTTACAAAAGGAAAATGCGTTCCATAAAGCCTTTCACCATCTATAATCATACTTAATACTTCCTTTCAGCTGTGTTTCAGAGAAACTAACTTCTTGTCTGAATAGGGAGAAAGAACTAGCAACCTAGTCTGTATCAGTTGGGAAATGGTCTTCAGGAACTATCTATAATGCTTATAATTATATTAAAAAAATTAATAATTTACTTCACTAAAAGGTACATATTTGTTGGAAAGTTGTATTGAGTTTTTTGATAGTATATGGTGTTCCATTAAAATGTTTGTATAATTTTAACAGAGTATTTGAGCACCATGGACAAGTGCGACTTGGAATGGTATGTTATTAGTTTTTCCTTTACTAATATGGAATAGTTTGGATTAGAGGAACATTCTGGCTTGATAGACTAAACAATAGTAAAAGACAAACCTTATAAAAGAATATATTAAAAATCTATGTACAGAATATGTAAATATTAAATGCCACTTTTATTTCTTTTTTTTTTTATTAGCTATACATGACATTACAATGATCTTGGCAATTCATACATTTGAATCAATTGGGGTATAATTTCTCATTTTTCTGATTGTACAGATTGCAGAATCACATTGGTCATACAGTCACCTATATACATACAGCAATCATAATGTCTATTCTGCTGCCCTTCCTAAATGCCACATTTATTTCTTACTCAAAAATGTACTTGGAAATTTTTCCTACACTTTATCCCCCTTTTTTTTTTGGTAGATGCGCCACCTTTATGTGGTAGTGGATGCATCAAGGACAATGGAAGACCAAGATTTAAAGCCTAATAGACTGACATGCACTTTAAAGGTATTGTAAAATCATTTAATATACTAAATGTAAGAAATTCTAAAGAAAAAAAATTTAAGAATGTAATAAGTTTTTTTTTTCAGTTAATATAAATGATAACTAAGCAGAAGTGCTATCTGGTCATTTTGGGAAATAATAAAACAAAATAGCTAATTCTTTGTGTGTTTAATTTCTACCCTCCCTCCCCAAATCAGCATCTTGCTTTGTGAGTTATCCATTTTCTTTACTGAGTCTTCATTCTCCTTTGACTTAATTGAATTTGTCTTGTCAGTTTACAACCACATTCATATCTTTCCTAATTTATAAAAGCCTACTATCAATTGTGCTTTTCTTCTCTGGCTTCATTGGATCTTTTCCTTGTTTGCATTGTTTTTAACATGTCCAAATGGGTCTTTTCTTTTGAGATGGGATCTTGCTTGGTCTTGAGCTCATAGCCTCAGGAGATTGTCCTACCTTAGCTTCACCAGTGACTGGTATTACAGGTGCTTTTCACTGTGCCTGGCCTGAATCCATCTTTTAAAACCTAGCTCATTTCTATCTTATCATCCACCATTTCAAATACATGTTTTTACTATTTACTATTTTGATAGCATCTATAAGTTTAAAAATCATGAGAAGTAGGCTGAGGATATAGCTCAGAGGCAGAGAGCTTGTCTACAGTCTGCAGAGTCCTGGGTTCCATTCCTAGCAGTTCAAAAAATTAAAAATAAAATAAAACATGAGAAGTGATGCTTGATAAATAGGTTTCACAGAACATTAATGGGACATGTTCTTTGTGGTTGTTATTTTTCCCTTATGTAATATTTCCTTTTTGTTTTCTTCAAACAGTTGTTGGAATACTTCATAGAAGAGTATTTTGATCAAAATCCTATCAGTCAGGTATGTAGATAAGTGCAAGAATTCAAATAAAAATCCAATTTTCTGCAACATATATATATATTTTTTAAAAATAGGACTATTCTATAATTAAGAAATTTAGAGTGTGTATCCATTTCTGATACACTTATCAATGAAAAACAAAATAACTCTATAAGTTAAACAATATACAGTGAACTTATAGCTAAATTTATTTGTCAGAACACTGAGAAAAAATTTCTCCTGTTTTGCTTATTTCTTCTATAGGTACTAATTTATTTTAGTTAAATAAATTCTTATCAAGAGGAAATAATTTTATATGAAATTAATAATCATTTTTGTTTTTATTTTGAGATTGGAATAATTGTAACTAAGAGTAAAAGAGCTGAAAAACTGACTGAACTCTCAGGTATGCATAAAACAACCTTTACAGGACTCAAGGACTTTGCTTTAATTATCTAATTTTTTTAATCCTGTTCATAGGGGTTGCCTAATAAGTAATATGAAGTTGTCCTCTGTGCTTTGTAGGTGAAACAACTTAATAATGTCACCTTCCACCCCTGTTAATCTCTTGGGATCTAAGATTAACTGTTGTTGTATTTGATTTAATTTAATTTTTTTTTTTTTTTTTTTTTTTTTGCTTTGCTGGGGATTGAACCCAGGTCTTTGTACATGCTAGGCAAGTGCTGGACCCCTGAACTACACCCCCAGCCAGGATGAACTGTTTTACGTTGAAGTCTCCACAGTAGTGAATAATAATATTATGTTAAATGTAAATGTGTTTAAGACATGTATATTCTTATCCTGAAAATATTAAAATAACTTCATTATAACCATTCATAAAATCCACTTAATCTTTCACTTAATTTTTTGTTTTTTAATACTGAGGCTTGAAACAGGGGTGCTTTACTCTTGAACTACATCCTCATTCTTTTTTTTATTTTTTATTTTGAGACAGTACCTTACTAAGTTGCTGAGGCTTGCCTCAGCCTCCTGAGTCATTGGGATTACAGGTGTGGGCCACCACACTCTGCTTAATAAATTTTCGAAAAACATTTTTATGGCAGTTGTACTTGACCTGAGTAGCACAATGTATTGTATGTAGTGTAATTGAAGCAAAATCATATGAAGAGCTATTCATAGGTTTACACTTGAGTAGGCAGCAACAATTATGTCATGAAAGCTGCTCACCTACCAGTGATAATAAGACATGCTGATTTCAGAGATTTTAAATGTGGAAATATATTGGTATTTAAAATGATGATCTATGGCCTTGTGTTGGTACACATCTGTAATCTCACCTATCTGGAAGCCTGAGGCAGAAGGATCACAGTTTTGAGGCCAGCCAGAGCAGTTTTACAAGTTTTTGTCTCAAATAAAAATAAAAAAGGCTGGGGATGTAGCTTAGTGATAGAGCACTTGCCTAGCATGTACAAAGTTCTGGGTTTGGTTTCCAATTCTAGGGAGAAAAAAAAAAGATGAACTATGGAAATATGAAGAGTAAAAAAAGTATGCATATGCTCTTGGTTAATATTATTTAAAAATATGTGTGCTGTTGGCTATAAAGAGACAATTATTTGTGTTCTGGTTTTCAATAGGAAGTGAGATTATCTACCAAATATTTCTGATAAAAGTGCAACTTGATAAATATATTTTGAAGGCAGTCTTATTTAATATCATAAATATGTAAATTTTAGAAAAAGTATATATTTCCATGTTATATATACATAGCATTTTATTAAAACTAGATTATTCTATTTTTATTTTAGGAAACCCAAGGAAACATATAACATCTTTGAAGAAAGCGGTTGATATGACCTGTCATGGAGAACCATCTCTTTATAATTCCCTAAGCATGGCTATGCAAACTCTAAAGTTAGTATTTTATATTTCTTATTTATAATTGGCTTAAAAGTTTTTTGAATCAGTTAAATTGAAATGATAATATATTAACATGGGTCTCTGTAAAGCCAGTTATGACAAAATAGTTAAGTAGGAAAAATATGTAATATTATGTATGATATTTATTTTGGTGTTAGTTAGTAATTTTTATTTTACATTTTAGTAGGTGAATTATATCTTTGTTTTTTCCTTTAGTACTGAGGATTGAACCCAGAGGTGCTTAACCACTGAACCACATCCCTAGTACTTTTTATTTTTTATTTTGAGACAGAGTCTTGCTAATTTGCTAATTTCCTGAGGCAGGACAATCAGGGCCTCACTAAGTTGCTGAGGCTGGTTTCAAACTTGGCCATCCTCTTGTCTCAGCCTCTTGAGTCACTGGGATTACAGGTCTGTGACAACCACAACTGGGTATACCTAATTTTTGAAGAGTTTATATTAGAGCTTGGGATATAGCTTATTGGTATAGGGCTTGCCTGTCATGTATGAGGCCCTGGGTTCCATCCCTAGCACTGGGGGAAAAAAGAGAAAGAAAAATTTATATTAAAGTGTTTAAAATGCTGGGCATGGTGTTACATGCCTGTAATCCCAGTGGTTTGGGAGGCTGAGCCAGGACTATCAGGAGTGCAAAGCCAGCCTCAACAACTTAGCAAGACCCTGTCTCATAAAAAAGGCTGGGGATGTGGCTTAGGGGTCAAGTGCCCCTGAGTTCAATCTCTGGTACCAAAAAAAAAAAAGTTCAAAATATACTAAAAATTCATTACTATGCAGTGTTGAAACAAATTAGGTATTCTGTGGTCTAAATGTGTAAGCTATGTGTAATGTTCTCTCTAGATAAATCTTTTGCTAGTTTTATTTGTTGACCTAATTGGAGTATATTTTATCTTTCTTTAGACACATGCCTGGACATACAAGTAGAGAAGTCCTAATCATTTTTAGCAGCCTTACAACTTGTGATCCATCTAATATTTATGATCTAATCAAGGTAGAACCAATATATCAAAACTGAAGTTACAGCTCTAAAGAAAATTCTGTAGTGAATTTATTATTAGCTTTCAGAGCATTATTTTCCAAATACATTAATTCTTAATTATTTTTCTTCTTCCTTTAATCTTTTATTTTCTCGAATTTTATGAAGACCCTAAAGGCAGCTAAAATTAGAGTGTCTGTTATTGGGTTATCTGCAGAGGTTCGAGTTTGCACTGTACTTGCTCGTGAAACTGGTGGTATGTATCTATTGTCTTCAATATTTATTCATAATTACTGTCAAAGAAATAACATTAATTAGAGTGCTTTAATCTGCTTTACACCACTAAACTTATATAATTTCCTATCCCATGCCCAATATATGAACAGTCATCTGAAATATATTATTGATTCTATAAGAAATCATTTCAAAATGCAGTGAATTTTTAGTCATTATGTCAGTGTTTAGAGAAAGTATTATAACTCTTGAAAAGTTAAAATTTCACTGTAAATCTTTATAAAGATTTCATAACTTTGCTTTTACTAAATTATAATTACTGTTCTAACTTATAATTACTATTATTCCTAGAGAAGTTGATTTAGAGATTTTACTTAAATAAGTTTTTTAAAAAATGATAATTTAGCTAAAAATCATTATTTTGAAAATTACATTTTCCAATGATAAAATTTTTATAGAATTATATAGAAATTATAATTCGTTCTTATGTCTACAAAGCTGGTATTTTTTCTTTTGCTTTTCATGTTAGGCACATACCATGTTATTTTAGATGAAAGCCATTACAAAGAATTGCTAACACATCATGTTAGTCCTCCTCCTGCCAGCTCAAGTTCTGAATGCTCACTCATTCGTATGGGTATGTGTTTATTTTGTGTAATTTTAAAAATGCATATTTTGCTTCAAACTAGGCTTTCTGTTTTCATTTGTGTAAGTTAACATTTAAGAAAATAAACTTATTAATATAACAATTTTGGAAAATACAGAGAAGTAAAGAAAATTAAAACTACCCATAGTTCTTGTCACCTACACAATACTCCTGGCTTTCTTTATCATTTAGCTGGAAAGGTATGAATGTATTGTGTTTTAAAGAAAAATACTTGCATTAAGACATTTTTTAAAAAAGCTACAAAATCTCTGGATTATGTTATTAAATCTATTTAATACAAGAATGGCTCACATCTGTAATCCCAGCAATTTGGAAAGCTGAGGTAGGAGGATCAAAGCCAGCTTCAGCAACTTAGTGAGACACTGTCTCAAAAATTAAAAAGGGTTGTGGATGTGGCTCAATGGTTAAGTCCCTTGTACCAAAAACAAACAAACATAAAAAACTGTGTAATATAAATTGTGCAAAGACAGAGGATTACAGGCAAATACACCAGATTGCTCAGTCATTTTTTTCAGGAGAGATAAAATGTTTGGTTTTGGGTCATTAAAAAAAATTGCTTTGTAGCTGGATGTGGTGCCATATTCTTGTAATCCCAGTGGTTTAGGAGGCTGAGGCAGGAGGATTGAGAGTTCAAAGCCAGCCTCAGCAATTTTAGTGAGGCCCTGTCTCTAAATTAAATACAAAAAAGGGCTGGGGATATGGTTTGGTGGTTCAGTGTCCTTCGGTTCAATCCCGTGTGTGTGTGTGTAAAAGCTTGTTTTCCTGTGTCTTCTAAATATTTTATAATAAAGTTTGTTACCCTTTCATTGAAAAAATATATAACTTTTTAAATATAACTTTTCTTGTTTAATATGCTTTTTAAATGTCAATGAGATGAAATGCTTTTCTACTTTATTTTTGACCATAACTGGTCAACCTGTCTTTTCTATTTTTTTCAGTTATAATATAATATTAGTATCTACCTAACTGTGTGTTGCAGAGACTGAATTAATACAAATAAAACGTTTAGAATATTGCTTGATGTAACATTCAGTACATTTTAGATATTATAATGGCTAAGTTTGTTTGATTTACTGATATAGCTTCTTATTCCATTTTAAAGTTATTGTTTGAAATTATAATTTGTTCTTCAAACTGATTTGTTAGAGTCCTTTAGGACTTTAGAGTCCTTTAATCACCTGATGCACAGGTTTTTCTAGTTAGTCATTCATCTTTACTTTTTTTTTTTTTTTTTTTTCTTTTTTTGTGACAGGATCTTGTTATATTGCTCAGGCTGAACTTGAATTTCTGGGGTCAAGGAATTCTCCTGCCTCAGTTTTCCAAGTAACTAAGAAAATTGGCATGCTCCACTGTGCCACCTTTACTTTTATGTATTTTGTTTGTTTTTTGTGATGCTGGGGATTAAACTCAGGGACTTTTGCATATTAAGCATGCACTCTACCACTCAGCTACTGTCTTGTTGATTTTATTTGTTTTTGTATTTTTGTATTTTTGGGGGGGGGGGTACCAGGGATTCAACCTAGGATGCTTAACCACCAAGCCACATCCCCAGCCCTTTTTTTTTTTTTCTAATTTTATTAGAGACTAGGTCTTGCTGAGTTGATTAGGGCCTTGCTAAGTTGCTGAAGCTGGGCTTGAACTGATTGATGATCCTCCTGCCTCAGCCTCTTGAATTACTGGGATTACAGGCATGCACCACTCTGCCCAGCTGATTTATTTGTTTGTAGATATATTTAAAAGTTTTATGTAATGAGAACTTTTTTTTTAATAATTTACAATAATATATAATTTATAATAACATAATAATTTAATAGTTTCTGCATTTCTTGTTTTCAGAATTTAGTATTATATAAATAAAGCAAACTTCATGAAATTTTTTTAAAACACATACATATTTTTTACTTGTTGATGGACACAATATCTTTCTTTATTTTTATGTGGTGCTGAGGATCGAACCCAGTGCCTCACGTGCAAGGCACGTGCTCTACCACTGAGCCACAATCCCAGCCCCACATTCCAAAATTTTAAACATAAAAATATTTGCTTAGATAAAGTGAAAAAGAACTAGGTAATATAAGCTTGCATTGTGTTGTTAAAGTATATAAAACTTATGAACTACTTTTCTTTTTAAAAAGCAATATAATTAGTATTAAGTTAAAAATCCAGATATGAGCTTTAGACTCGATTTCATACACAGATAGGTTTTTCACCTATTATTTGTAGCTTGGAAATATGATCAGTGTATCATACTAAAATAAGTGTATGTTTTTAAGAGGCAGAAAAGAGACTTTTTGTACAACTTTGTTGTTTTCTGGTAGAAACATTTTTAGTTCCTAGTCCTAGAATTCTGTTCTTTGCTTGGAGAAAGAAATCAATACATTTTTTTTTCTATGAAGGGTTTCCTCAGCACACCATTGCTTCTTTGTCTGATCAAGATGCAAAACCCTCTTTCAGCATGGCGTAAGTAAAGATCTATTGTCAGTGATATTTTAATATTTTAAATTCCTTCTGCTAAGTTATAAATTTTTAAATGCATCTGAGATATAGAAGATTGGCTTTATAGAAGATTACTTTATATGTTGACTTCTATAGAAGATTACTTTCTATGTTGCCATAAAAAGGAACGACTATATGCTTCTATGGTGTGACCTTTTCAAATATATCACCAAGTAAAAAAGCAAGATAGAGGTGTGTAATATGCTATCAGTCATCTAAAAAGAAGGTGGAGATGTGAATAGATATACACACTTGTTCATGTTAATAATAAAAGCAATAATAATGGAAATAGAAAGTGAAAACTAAAAAATGTTTACCTTGGGCTGGGGATGTGGCTCAAGCAGTAGCGCGCTTGCCTGGCATGCGCAAGGGTTCGATCCTCAGCACCACATAAAAATAAAATAAAGATGTTGTGTCCACCGAAAACTAAAAAAAACATAAATATTAAAAAATTCTCTCTCTCTCTCTCTCTCTCTCTCAAAAAAAAAAAAAAAAGTTTACCTTGTGGATGTGTGTGGGAAAAGGCAAGGTCATAGAACATAGACTTTTCTGAGTATACCTTGTTTTAAATTTAGGAAAGTGAATATTCAGAGTCATAGTCAAGACCTCCTCATAAAGGAGTAACAGACTAGATTTACCCATATTTATTGTCCTCCCCACAAAACCAGACAAAATACATAAAAAAATGGTTTTCAGACATAAGACAATAGGCAGTATAGATAATGGTTCCTAAAAGAAAGGAAATGAGTGAGGTAGGTCCTATGCCTGCTTCAGCTTACTACCTAGAATTTCCAGGTTGCAGTGCAGAGTTTGGGCATTAAGTGACAAAGTTCTGCATTTGGGGAGGCTGAGATAGCTATAATGTTGTCAGAGAGGAAAAAGTTGCACAGAAGAACTCTCTGGAGATCCCATGAGCAGAGACTTGCTCATCAGTCTTTAGCTGAGTGTTGATCAGTATATTTGTATGAGGAAAATATTGGAAACCAGGGAAGCCACTGGAAACCAGCAAATAGAACAATTCCCAGAGCTCCTATAGGGCAAAGAACAGTTCATGTTCTCACCAGTTTGTGGAAAGACCTCTTTTTGTGGCAGACATTTAATAGAGTCCACAATAACAGAACCACATTAATCCTAGATTAATGGCTGCTCCGGACCAGCCAAACAATGCTTAAAAGCAGGTTTTGAACAGATAAAATTATTTTCAAGTTACTTAAGTATATTGCAAAGCCCAAAATATTTAAAGTCATTAAAAAAATCTAGTTCCCAAATCAAAGTAAAATTCTTATTGTCTAGCAGCCAATCAAAAATGAAAGAAAGAAAAACTAGGTTCTGGGCCTAGTAGCACACACCTATAATCCCAGCAACTGGAAAGGCTGAGGAGGAATATAGTGATTTCCAGGCCAGCCTCAGCAACTTACCAAGATGCTGTCTCTAAATCAAAAATAAAAAGGAATGGGTCAAGGAGGCTCAATGATAGAATGGCTCTGGGTTCAATCCCCGGTACTGCAAAAACAAAAAAATGACTAGGCATAGAAGACAAAATATGACCTATAACAATGAGAAAAATTATAGACTGGAAACATAGGTAGAAAAAAACACAGTTGATAGAATTAGTAAGCAAAGATATTAAAATAGCAATTGTAAATATACTCCATAAGTTCAGGAAAGTAGAGGAGAACTTGAGAATGATAAGAGATATGAAAGTATAAAAAAAAATCCAAGTCAAAATTTTAGAAATGAAGAATACATTGGATAGGATAGTTGAAAAAATACAATGGATAAGGATTAATAACAGATTAGTCACAGCAGAGGATTAGTGAATTTAAAGATAGTCAAATGTCAAAATAAAAAAGGAGAGAAAAAAAACAAAAAATGAATATAGCATTAAGTGATCTATAAGATATACTCACATATTTTCAAATAAATTTTAATAGATTATAAATTAGAATCCAGAGTTGAAGATAAAGAAAGGTAATATGCGTTTTTTAGCTCCAACTTTTTCATCTTTATGTTTATATCACTTTTCCAAAGTAATTTTTTCCCCCATAGGCATTTGGATAACAACACTGAGCCAGGACTTACATTAGGAGGCTATTTTTGCCCACAGTGTCGTGCAAAGTACTGTGAACTTCCTGTTGAATGTAAAATATGTGGTAAGACACCAATTATTTATTATTTGGTAAATTAATTTTAAATAACTTCCTCATCTATATTGCTGCTAAAATAAATGTAAATGTTGACTCCTGTGTTTCTGGATTTAATATGTGCTAAGAGAAATTGATTATGTTTTTCATTGAGTACCCAGTACTCTACTTCCACGAATAAACATAGCATTATGAAGAGTTTCCTGATTCTCTTTCTGGAAAAAAAAAAAAAAAGTGTATTTTTTCAAGCTATTGCAGTAGATGTAGAAGACATTTTTCTAGTACCTACCTTTATGATATATATCATATATATCATATAATGTACATATAATTTATATTTGTATGTAGAATAAGGAATTAAAGTAACAGAATTATAGAATTTTATTTTATTTATGAGTAAGCAGATAGGCCAACAGAGGTCACATACTTGGTGACATTGGCTTTTCAGCCATTATCTTCATGAGGTTTGGGTTATTAAACATGTCTTTGTTTTATGTGTTAGGTCTTACTTTGGTTTCTGCTCCCCATTTGGCACGGTCTTACCATCATTTATTTCCTTTGGATGCTTTTCAAGAAATTCCCCTGGAAGAATTTAAAGGAGAAAGGTATATGAGTTTTAATTAACTTATTATCTGTTACAAGTACTGAGTAAATTAGTCTATATAATATTACTACTTTTAAAAAGATAGTCATATTAATCTGAGTAAGATTACTTCTAAAACAGAAAATGAGGTGTAGCCTTATGACTTGACTGACTGACTCATTATTGAATAGATCTGAATCTTCAGAAATCTATTAATTTCTCTAACCTCACTTAATTGTAATAAGAATGATATATTAGTAAATCAGTTCTTTAAAAAGAGAAAGCATGTTTTTTTAGTAAAATGTTCTCATCATGTCCAGTTTTTAACTAAAACAGTTTAACAGTTTAACTTTCAAAATTTCTGATTACTTAATAGTTGACTATCTTGAACTCTAGCACACTAATGAAAATAAGAGGTTGGCAGAACATAATTAATCTGGAACCTGTAAGTATTTTCATTAGTGATATTTCTATGAAATCTTACTAGTAAAGCCTGAAGTAAAGGTGGTCTGTTATAGAACAGTTTTACAAAAGTAAACTGGGCATGATGGTGGATGCCTATAATCTTATCGACTCAGGAGGCTGAGGCAGGAGGATTGCAAGTTCGTAACTAGCCTCAGCAACTTAGTAAGGCCCAAAGCGACTTAGTGAGATGCTGTCTCAAAATAAAAAGGACTGGGGATGTGGGATAGTGGTTAAGCACCTCTGAATTCAATCCCTGGTACCAAAAAAAAAAAAAAAAAAAAAAAAGAGAGAGACAGAGAGAGAAGTAAAGGTTTACTTTTAAGACCATCCAGGACAAGTGTGAAGGCACATGTCTGTAATCTCGACTTGGTCAGTTGAGGCAGGAGGATTGCAAATTTGAGGCCAGCCTCAGTAATTTAATGAGACCCTGTTTCAGAAGAAAGGCTGGGGTGTAGCTCAGTAATAGAAGAAGGCCTCTGGGTTCAATCTCCAGTAACACATACACACACACACATAAAAGTAAAAATTCCAAGATTTAAAAACCACTGACTAGCAGACAATTATGTATCCATCCATCTCCTTGCTTTTACATGTAAAAAAACATTTGGAAGTCATTTCAATTTATATAAGCATATTTAGATCTTTGTATGTGTATGTAGTATTGGGGATTGATCTCATGGCCTTGTACATACTTGAACTATCACTAAGCTACATCCCCAGCCCTTTTTATTTTTTCTGTATTTCTTATTGGTGCATTATGATTATACATAATAGTGGGATTTGTTGTTACATATCATGCACAAATATGACAGTATAATTAGGTTGATATAATTCCCTAGTAGCTCCTCTTTCTTTTACCTTCTCCCTTCTCTGGTCTCCCTTCTGTTTACATGTGATCCTCCTGAATACCTTTTCTTTTCCTTTTCTTTTTTTCTTTCTTTCTTTCTCTTTTCTTTTTTTAATTTTTTTAAATTTTTGCTTCTTACATATGAGAGAAAACATAAGGCCCTTGATTTTCTGAGTTTGGCTTATTTCACTTAATGCTCTCAGGTTCCATCCATTTTTCTACAAATGACATAATTTCATTCAAGTTTTTTCTTTCTTTCTTATTTTATTTTATTTTGAGGAGCTTAATTCTTTCACAGAATCCTAGTTCAAAAAGCATGTGCAGGGGGCTGGGGTTGTCAGTGGTAGAGTGCTCGCCCTACATGCTTGGGGCACTGGGTTTGATCCTCAGCACCACATAAATGTAAAATAAAGATATTGTGTCCACCTAAAACTATAAAACAAATATTTTTTAAAAAGTATGTGCATATATTTAACTTTAATAAAAAACAAAATTTTAGGCTATCTAATGACCTTGGAACATACTGTGAGATTTTAAATACTGTTGATTTTTCATTGCTTATTAAAAGATTCTAATTATTGAGACTTTGCTGAATTACTTTAATGAGTGAATTCTTAAAAAAAAAAAAAGGAAGGAAGGAAGAAAGAAATTGATTCTTAAACTCTCTTTTTCAGATTTTGTTATGGATGTCAGGGGGAGTTGAAAGACCAACATGTAAGTTCATGGCTTTCTAAATGTTAAGTAATATATAAGAAATACTGAGAAGATGGTACAATAATAAGTTTCCAATAGTTGTTGAAGATCAGGCTTTTATCAGGTTACTCTCTAAATATAATTACAGTAGGTAAATTTAGAATGGGAAAATAAATAGTAGTTTTATCATTCTGCATTTAAGCTTTGCTCTAAAGATACTTTAGTACCTTGTCTTCTGCTTTCAAGCTATATTGCATTAAGCTTGGAAGCATTTTAGATGTTTTTTCATATTATACTTTAGGTTCTGTTATAACTCATTTTGAAGTTGCCAAAGATAAAAAATTGTGCCAATGAACCACATAAAAAAAACTTAAATAAAAAAAAAAATATATATATATATATAAATTGTGCCAATGAGAAAATATTTTTAAAAAAGTTTAAGGACAGAGCTAGGTATGGTAGAGTGCTCCTATAGTCCCAACTACTCAGGAGACTGAAGCAAGAGGATCACTTGAGCCCAGGAGTTTGAGGCTACCCTGGGCAGTGTAGCTAGACTACATCTCAAAACAACAAAAAGAAACTTTAAAAAAAATTCTTGGCTGGAGTTGTAGCTCAGTGGTAAAATGCTTGCATAGCACGTATGAGGCACTGGGTTTGATCCTTAGTACCACATAAAGATAAATAAATAAAATAAAGGTATTGTGTTCTATCTACAACTAAAAATTTAAATATTTTTGAGGATAGCCAAATTGAATATGTAAACTTTTATATATGCAAATATATAATATAAATTGTTTCTAGCTTTAGTTTTTTTTACTACTTAAGCTACATGTTGACATTTAAAACTGTACTTTATAAATTATATTAAATTAATTAGAAGTGTTGCTTGTTTTGGGCCAAGGGCATAACTCAGTGGTTGATCTTGTACTTTGCATGCTAATAAGATGCTGGGTTTGATCTCCACCACAGAAAAATTTTTAAAAAAGTATTACTTAAAAAAAATCAATAGGGCTGGGGATGTGGCTCAAGCGGTAGCGTGCTCGCCTGGCATGTGCGCGGCCCAGGTTCGATCCTCAGCACCACATACAAACAAAGATGTTGTGTCCGCCGAAAACTAAAAAATAAATATTAAAAAAAAAATCAATAAATTATAAAAAAGAAGAAACAAAAACGAAAAAAGAAAACAACAAAAAAAGGTGTCTCATTTATTCTACTTTCATGTTTCATAAAACGATTTTGTTCAATTTTATAGAAAGATGAGTTTTTTTCTGTCTTATGTGTCATTGACATATTCTTTAAAGTTTTAATTGAAAGGGAGATATAACTTGTAATTAGAAGATCATTCTTAAAACTAAATGTATTAATTTTTTTTTAATGTAGAACACTTTGTTCCTTTCTTTCTTTCTTTCTTTTGGTGCTGGGGATTGAACTCAGGGGCACTTGACCACTGAGTCACGTCCCCAGCCCTATTTTGTATAACAAAGTTCCTTTTTAAAATTTTTTTGGTACTGGCGATTGGACCCAGTGGTACTTTGCCACTGAGCTACATCCTTAACCCTTTTTATTTTTTATTTTGAGATAAAGTCTTCTTAAGTGTCTCAGACTATCATAGAATTTGTGATGCTCCTGCCTCAGCCTCCTTATTAACTGGGATTTCAGGCATGTGCCACCATGCCTGGCTCTTTCTCTCATTTCTTTCTCTCTTTTTTTTTTTTTTTTTGGTACCGGGGATTGAACCCAGGGACGCTTAACCACTTAGTCACATTCCCAGCCCCTTTTTAATATTTTATTTAGAGACAGGGTTTTGCTGAGTTATTTAGGGCCTCACTAAGTTGCTGAGGCTGGCTTTGAACTCATGATCCTCCTGCCTCAGCTTCTCTAGCTGCTGGGATTACAGGTGCTCACCACCATGCCCTTTTCCTCATTTCTAAGGGATGGTTTGGGGGAAAAAATAAATTGCCCCAGATTTGAGATTGCATGGTACATTGGAAGTCATAAAATAGATAGATGGGTAAGGGAAAATATAGGGATATAAAAGAGCAAAGCAACTTGAATTTCTTCTAGCTATGCTGTACTTTAGGAAACTATAGTTTTATTCACTAAGTGTTTCTTCTTTTTGCTGCAGGTCTATGTTTGTACTGTGTGCCAAAATGTTTTCTGTGTGGACTGTGATGTTTTTGTTCATGACTCTCTCCATTGTTGTCCTGGCTGTATTCATAAGATTCCAACTCCTTCAGGTATTTGATTCTAGCATGTAGTACATACTGTGTGTAAAGAAATTTGTAACTGTAAATAAAATGATTCTTTAGAAAAACAACTTGAGAAGAAAATCTGATTTAAGGAATTTTTTGCTGAAAAAAATATTTTATAAAATTTTTATTTGTGTACTATCACAGAAATGCCCAGAATTCAATAGTATTTCATTCAATTTGTGAATAATAATAATAATTTGTTTTCAAGTTATTATGCATTATGGGTAAATTATTATAATGATTAAATTGATGTGATAATCTTGTTTTATAATTGAAGTGAATATAGAATTTTTGTGTTATAATTTCATAATTTTGTGTAAAATTGAAATAAATTAAAATTTAGTATAAGATGAAAATTAATAGTTATGAAATTAATACATATTATGAAATGATATACTACTACATCCACCAAAGTGTTCTTTCTAGGCTTAACTAAATATTTGGAAGATAATTATAAAGTTAATATGTCTTCAATTATTTGTGACTATTACCAATAGGAGTCTTTAGGCTGAACACTCAAGCTCACAAGACTGCCGTGGTTGCTGCCACTCAAAGGAATATTAAACTAGAATAGAAGCCAGGGTGTAGGGCATCATCAAATTCTTGTTAGCAGTCCAGGCACAATTTGGCAATCAGGAATCATTTAGCAATACAATTGACATTCTTAGCTTTATTAATTACATGGTAAGAGCTTGAAAGCTTAACTACAGGTGAGATTTAAATACAGCAAGGAAAAAGGTCTTATTTAACTCTTTTACTCTCATATGCTAAATCTATTGTTTTAAAATATTTTACTTAATAGAGTATGTCTAATTCTAATGTTTTGGTTGTTTGGTATCTGAGACTGATTTACCATATATACTTCAAGCTAATGAAACCAAAGTTGTGGTGTCTGTGGTGTCCCTGTTAGCCTCACTGATTTTCAAACCCTGGGACTACCCTTTTCAACTTTTGCATTCGGATCATCAAAGAAACTTAGGTGAGAATGTATGATAGAGTCTGTTTTAGGTTCAGTGCAGATATATCATTATAGACAGAACTTTTTTCTAGATATTTCCTGTTGAGAGTGAACAAGTCTTCCATAGCAAAGGTATGTGTATTTTATATCTGTAAATATTAGTCACTTTAGATAGTGTTTCATTATGCAATTTGTGATTTTATAAATAAGAATTCTTAGTGAAAAGTATTATTGGTAAAGACAATGTAATCTCACCCTGGAGAGTCTATTCAATAAATCTTTTGTGAAGCCTAGAAATAAGCATTTTCAGCAAGTACACACTTGAACACACAAACACACAAAGACCTAAGGCAACCAAAGTAATAGGTGTTTCTCTCAGGATTCATATTCCTGAGCCTAGACTCAGTAGATCTTTATGTGGAAACCAATTTCAGCTATAGATAACCTGGTAATTCTATCTTCTTTCTGCGGTGTCAACAGAGCTATCAGTGACTTATAGGAGATACCTTTAAACTGCCTCCTGGCTTAGAGGGAAGAAAAGTAAACTAGAACCATATAGAGACTCAACCTCCCTGATAGAAAAGGGACCTCCAAAGTTTATTTTGACATCTTTAACATGTTCCCCTGCTGTAGGGAACAGACAAGTCAGGGCACCAAAGATAGGAGGAAACAGTTTTATTTGGCTGCAGCCAGGTTCAGAGGGTACAACTTTCACTGTAATCAATTAATCCTCTGAACCCCAAGTTCAGATAGTTTCAGAACTTTATAGCCAGCATGTAAGGGGAGGGGCTCACAAGTTCACAGACTGCAGACGATCACAAAAAAGCAGCTTTTTTTCCTTTCACTATTTTGGGCAAGAAAACCCTTCAAGGACAACCACAACACCTGAGAAGGGGAGAGCTTCTCCCCTTTCTTTCCTCCCCCTGTCAGCTGTTACCTTGGAGCCCAATTGGTAACTTCTTTTATTTTAGATATGTAGATATCTCTGTGCAGCTCCAGCTCAAGGTCAGAGGCCTTGTTAAAGGATCTTTTTATTATCACATTTTGCATTTGCAAACACACTTTTACAACTACTTATACTGGATAAATGTTTGTGAAAAACTAGTAAGGGGGCATTCAGCACCTGGAGTGCTGATTTCTTCCAGGCCAGTGGCCAAGTAAAATAGAGCGACAGGAAAATAGGAAGTTGAATTCTTTTGTAGAGACTCTTTTGCTGATGGTCCTAAAATCAATTATGGTGAAGATTTCTGGAGAAGCCAGTTAAGATTTTCTGTGAAGGAGGAGGGTGCCATTACACCCCCATTATGGATTTCATTTACATACATTATGGGGTTAAGATGAATATTTTAGTTATACTTAAGGAGGAACTTTTTTTTTTTTCAAACAGTAATAAAGAAAATTCTTGGCTTGTTTAAGATTGCAGAAATGAGGACTAGGGGCGGTGCTCAGTTTAGAGCACTTGCCTAGCATGCACAAGGCCCTGGATTCAGTTTTCAGAACCATCCACACAAAAAGATTGCATAAATAGAAATGGTGATGAAGAGTTTTAGCCTTTAATTTTTTCCTTGGAAGTCCACAATATATTATTTTAAATACTTTCAAATGTGTACATTTTTGCTTCATATTCTGTTTTATTCAGCCTGATAATCTTTCTTTGTCTTTTAAAGCTTTGAACAAACCATTAGCAGAACAACCCCATTGAGTTATTTTTAAAATACCTAACCCCATAGGAATAACGAGAGTTAATAAATTTACTGTTGTTTTAAGTCAGTAAGTGTTGGAATATTTTGTCACATAACAATAGATAACCAGAACACCCTGCCTCTGGTACCAAATTCTAAATTGTTTACTGTTCATTAGGAGAAGCAAAACCAGCATGAGTAATACAGAGGATATGACACTATGCAATTGTTGTGGGGTAGGTAAGCAGTCTCTATAAGGCTACAGTTCTGCTACTGATGCTGGACTTGAAATTAGCAAACCCAGCATTTTGGAAAAGAAGGATGAATGTGAAGTAAGAACAAACTGGAATCTGTGAAGACAAACTGGAACTTAAGATGCAAACTGAACACTGCATCTGTTGCTCAAGACCTCCAATCTTAATGATGCAGATAAACTGCAGAACAAGCTGGTGCTCTTCACATACCAATGAAGTGAACTAGCAGATTAGTGGCAATTTGGGTGAGTTATGACAGCACCTGGCCCCACATCACCCTTTACAATGCAGCAAAGTGGCTACAGCTTCATTTCTACATTCCATAAATTTCTAACTCACATAGATTTCTCCCAGAGTTAACTCTTAACTGTACAGGGAAGGGAATTGTGGGAAATATAGTTCCATTTAAGTTGATACAGTACAAATGCACCACAGGACTGACTACATAAATATGGAACATTTGTTGATAAGGAAAAGATACTCATAAAGTACAGTTTAGGAAGAAAAGCAGATTGTATGGCCATGCCTGTAGCTTGATGGTATAGCATGTGCTTGGTGTATGCCACGGCCATGGGTTCAATTTCCATTATAAAAAAAAGAGCAAATTATAATACTTACAATATTGTAACAGTGGTCTTCTTCACCTTTTGAAACCTTTTGAATATAGCCCTCACTGCTATGAGGCCTATTTTAAAAGGGACCTGTCTTTCTTTTCCTCTTTTCTCTCTTCCCCATTCTATAGCCTGGGGGCAGAGAACAGGATTACCTTTTATTCATTCTAGACCTAGTTATCTGTATTTGAGCACTTGCCCACCACAGGAACCAAGTAATTCACCCTTAAGGGATGGCACCAGATCTAAGGAATTGTTATCTCCCAAATTAACAAGTAAATCATAATCCCCCAGCTTGGTCACCTGGAATGTAGTCTTTGAAGAATTTTTTTAAAAGCCCTGGATTTTCCTAATGGGCAGAACCACAACCTCTGGGACTAGAGTCCTCTGTGAATCTCCTTTGCTAGCAAAGCAGAAAACTTTCTTTTTCTTTTTTCTCAAAACCATGTCCTCCTTTATTAAATTGGCATTGGGGATAAGGACCAAGCTTTTGGTAACAAAAAATCCAATTCTTGGGACTGGGGTTGTGGCTCAGTGGCAGAGTGCTTGCATAGCACATGTGAATCTCTGGGTTTGATCCTTAGCACCGCATATGAAAATAAATAAAGTAAAGGCATGATATCCATCTACAACTACAAAAAAAAAAAAAAGTCCAATTCTTACATTAATGGTATTTGTAAATATGGAAAAAACCTGAAAGAACATTAGTAATACCAGTTAAAATATTTGTAGTTATTTCTGCTTTGATTTTTCTTATAAGCCTTTATTTTATTTTGGTATTTTTCTTATCAATATCATGGTAAATTTCATGTGTTAACTTGATTAGTCCATAGGATGCCCAGATGAAACATGCCTGAGTGTATCTGTGAGGTATCTACAAATGAGATTATCATTTAAATCAGTGGAGTCAGTAAAAAATGAATTACTCTTGCCAAAGTTGGGGTGTAACAGTGGTCTACTTTACCTTTTGAATATAGCCCTGTAAGGGTAAAAGAAATTGAAGTTAAAGCGTAAAAATTAAAGGGTAAAAGACTGGGTGTTGTAAAAGTTTCTAAGCTGCAAGGTCTGAGTTAAATTTCTGTAGCTGTTAAGACAATGCTTAGAACCGCCCAGTAAACATTTCCCCTGATTGTCTGGTTGTTTAATAACTGAAGGGGTCTGTATGGTTGCACGCAGGCCTTGCAGGGCCTGAACCAATCAGTTTGAATGTAACCCCCTCCTTAGGAATGACCTATCACTCCAGCCTGACCTGTTCCCGCCAATGAATGAGCCAATCATGTTTAGGAGTTGTTGTTCAATTTTCCCGCGCCTAATGATGATTTGTTCTGATGTATACAAAGCCCTCCGCCCTCCCCAAAAAGTGTACTTAAGCAGTGCTCAGCCCCTGCTCGGGGCTCTGGGCTGCTTTCCCTTCTTGAGTGGGCACAGAGCCCCAGCATGCTGGTTCAATAAATCCCCCCCTTCTGCCAATTGCATGAGT